CTAACTCCTTTACTCGTCATCACACACTTATTCAGTGGAACCAGTATTCACATCCTCCTTTCAGTTCAGTTCAGTCGTTCAGTCATGTCCAACTCTTTGCGACCCCATGAATCACAGTACGCCAGGCCTCCCTGTCCATCACCAACTCCTGGCATCCACCCAAACCCATGTTCATCGAGTCGGCAATGCCATCCAGCCATCTCATCCTCTGTCATCCCCTTCTCCTCCTGCCCCCAATCCTTTCCAGCATTAGGGTCTTTTCCAATGAGTCAGCTCTTCACATGAGGTGGCCAGAGTATTGGAATTTCAGCTTCAGCATCAGTCCTTCCAATGAACACCCAGGACTGATCTCCTTTAGGATGGACTGGTTGGATCTCCTTGCTGTCCAAGGAACTCTCAAGAGTCTTCTCCAACACCACAGTTCAAAAGCATCAATTCTTCAGCGCTCAGCTGTCTTCACCGTCCAACTCTCACATCCATACATGACCACTGGAAAAACCATAGCCTTGACTAGATGGACCTTTGTTGGCAAAGTAATGTCTCTGCTTTTAAATATGCTATCCAGGTTGGTCATAACTTTCCTTCCAAGGAGTAAGCATCTTTTAATTTCATGGCTGCAATTACCATCTAGTGATTTTGGAACCCCCCAAAATAAAGTCTGATACTCTCTCCACTGTTTCCCCTTCTATTTCCCATGAAGTGATGGGACCAGATGCCATGATCTTAGTTTTCTGAATGTTGAGCTTTAAGCCAACTTTTTCACACTCCTCCTTCACTTTCATCAAGAGGCTTTTTAGTTCCTCTTCACTTTCTGCCATAAGGGTGGTGTCGTCTGCATATCTGAGGTTATTGATATTTCTCCCAGCAATCTTGATTCCAGCTTGTGCTTCCTTCAGCCCAGTGTTTCTCATGATGTACTCAGCATATAAGTTAAATAAGCAGGGTGACAATATACAGCCTTGACGTACTTTCCTATTTGGAACCAGTCTGTTGTTCCATCCTCCTTTCACACATGAGGAAACTGAGGCACAGAAAGCTCTACTAGAGACCTGCCCAAAATCATACAGCTTTTAGGGAACAGAACCAGAAGCTAAACCTTGGCAGCCATGTCCTGGGTCCTTGGCTTTTAACAATATGTGGGAGATGAGACAGCAGGGAGCAGACCCCAAAGGGTGTATTTAGGAGGGAGGATGAGCTTCCTTATGGGCTGAGGGGCAGGAACAAGGAGGAGAGGAAGAGATGAGGAAGCCTGGGGAAGTTTGATAGATGGAGTTGCTGTCAGAACCCACGGCCAAGCTCCACCATATACCATACATGGCAAGAGGAACAGGAGTCCTGGGTTGATGTGGTCCAGAAGGAGGCAAGGGGTCAGTTTCTGGTTTGAAGTCAGGTGACCTTACTTGTCTGGGAAATTGAAGGCAAGGTCACTGGCAAGGGGGCTGAGGAGGAGACAGGAAAGCTGTAGCCAAACCAGGTCTCAGCATGAGTCACCCCGGGGTCCTGCAGGAGGCTGGATGCGAGGAGGAGGCGGGGCGGGGGTGGGGGTTCCTAGCAGGGGAGGGGAAGGAGAGGACGGCAGGTTGCTGACCTGCAGCTCTCTCCATGGTCCTGCTTTACTCAGAACTGCGCTGCTCTATTGACAGATGGACCCAGGAGGTTCCCCATCTATGGGTGAGGGTCAGGGGCCCAGGAAGTGATCCTGGAGCACAGAATCCTTCAGAGCAAAGAACGAAGCATCCTGGTAACCACGCAGAGGGCGAGCAATCTGCTGTCGGTCCCCACTGGACACGCACTGGAAATTCAGAGGCTCCTCCTCCTCCCCTCCAGAGTGTGTGTGTATATAAGAGAGAGAGAGAGACAGACAGAATACGAGCATGAATCTGTGTGCTTGCCAAGCTGGCGATCCCTCCCTTGGACCCGCCTGACTCTCACCTGCAGAAGCCTCCATGCCAGGCTCTTCGGTAGGACTTAAATGTGCAGCTTCTCTGCCTCCAGAGCTGAGAGCCTGGAAACAGCAGCCTGACTTCAGAACTTGCCCAGCTCTCCCCAGGAAGCCAAGCTGCCTGTCAGAGTCAGACCTTTCTCACGCACCAAGGCGAGTCCTGCCCCAGCATCTGTCTGACCAGGAAGAGAAGTCACCTAGCCTTGGTTTGTGCCTGCCTTTCTATTCTTGGGGTGTAGGGGGGAGCCTTTGTCAGCTGATCAGGACCTCCAAACCGGGCTGGTTTGTTGAATGGCTTGTCTTCTGTGGTCACAGGTAAGAAAGGTGTCCCCCTCACTGGTGTTGGTGACTTGATAGGTATGTGGACATTAAGTGGGTGATTCAAAGGAATATGAGAGGATCAGCAGCTTCTGTGTACTTGGGGTGGGGGTGGGTGTATGTCGGACTGCTGGAAGATGCCTGCCTCTAGAAATATTTTAGTTTTTTGGTTGTCCCTGCTGGGGTTGTAAAAGTCCAGTGACAGTCACCTCCTCTCACTGTGAAGGTAGCTCCATCTCAGGCATTATTGGCTTTACTTTATTGAATCTGCTTCTGTTTCTTTAATATCACTATTCCTCTTTTGTCATTTATTTGTTCACTCAGTATTCCATACCCTTGAATAAAGGCTAACAGACATCCATGCTATACACTGGCTTGGAGGGTGGCAAGTTCTATCATTGTTGTTTTTTTTTCCCCCCGAGGCTGGAATTTGTAGAAGAAAATGACCAGGAAAATGACCAGCTGGTGTGGTAATCCAGATGACCTTTAAGATTCCATCCAACCTTGAGAGATTAAGCTTCTGTGATTAATCAATGTATTGAGCCGATCATAAGAAAGCTAGAAATAGGCTCTCTCTATCACTGCCTAAGCAGTTCTGATGAAGTGATTTGGAAGAAGAAACACTTTTATTTCCTCTAATCAAGGGACTTTCTCTGGGATATTGACATTTTCAGGAGAACAATTTCTCCCATGCCTGGGGATGTGCCGGGTAACGGACAGGGGCTCGGCGAGATGCAAGCAGGTTTTATGGAGAAGGTGGGCCTTGTGAAAAGAGTAGAACAGTGTGAGAAGTTGAAAACCAGCTGCCGTGGGAAGATGGACAAAGAAGTCAGTGCACACCACCTTAACTTCAGTGGAATCAAGGTTCAGGACGTGGGCAAGAGAGGCTGACTTGGGCTGGGGTGTGGGGAGCTCTAGTGACCCTGGTACATCACGGCAATGCAAGCCCAGTGAGCATGTCTGAGCCCTTTGAAATGAAAGTGAAAGTGTTAGTCACTCCATCATGTCTGACTCTTTGCAACCCGCATAGACTGTAGTCCGCCAGTCTCCTCTGTCCATGGAGTTCTCCAGGCAAGGATACTGAAGTGGGTAGCCATTCCCTTCTCCAGGGGATCTTTCCGACTCGATCGAATTCAGGTCTCCTGCAGTGCAGGCAAGTCCTTTACCAGCTGAGCCACACGGAAGCCTTGAGTCCTTTATTTATGTAACACTTCTCGTATAGCTTTCCATGTGCACCCCCTTTGTCCAGACCCACCTTACAAACAGGGTCATCACCCCGCAGGCACTGCCCTCTAACCTGCCAATCCAGGCATATAGAAGATAAAAGGGTTTGGGGCTCTTTCTCTTTTCATATCTTTCTAACAAGAGGTGGAAGTTTACTCTAATTACTGCTAATTACCTGGAACAGCTTCTCCTTTGGTTTCCAGTGACAAATTAATTAAATTATCATAGTGGACTAATTACAAGATATGCAAGGGTGAGTCTTCTTGCAGGAATATGTCCACCCGAGTCGACTGAATCTCATTTGCACATTCTTCCAGAGGGTCCCGGATGTCTCTGGTTGAATCTTTATATGATGCAAGGTCAGCATGCCTTGATTTCTACTTCTTTTCCCCCTATTCTCACGAGTGGGGAAAAAAACATGCTTCTATTTAGTGCCCTTGGTTGGAAGGTGAAACAGATTATAATCTTGGGATCTGCAGCCATGATACTGGTTGGAAGGAGAAGGGAATGAAGCTGTGCACGGAGCAACCTCCTACAACTTTGGATTTAAGTGAGACTGGCTTTGGTGTGGGGCACCTGGGCCTTGTCACCACCTGTCTGTCACAGATCTTAGTTGTGATTGTGGCAGAGCAATGACAGTCACAACCTACAAAACGCAGGCCAGTACCCAAAATTATCTTTCTAGTTGCCACCACTGAGCAGCACTAGAGCACGTCATAGTTGAGAAGCTGAGGTGTGAGCCTGAACTCCAACTTCATCATGTGTTGACTGTGTTGCTGTTGTTCACTTGCTAAGTTGTGTCTGACTCTTGGCGACCTCGTGAGCTGCAGCACACCAGGCTTCCCTGTCCTCTACTATCTCCCGGAGTCTGCTCAAACTCGTGTCCATTGAGTCAGAGAGGCTATCTAACCATCTCACCCTCTCCCGCCTCCTTCTCCTTTTGCTTCAGTCTTTTCCAGCCTCAGGGTCTTTTCCAGTGAGTCAGCTATTCGCCTCAGGTGGCCAAAGTATTGGAGCTTCAGCTTCAGCATCAGTCCTTTCAGTGAATATTTAGAGTTTATTTCCTTTAAGATAGGCTGGTTTGATCTCCTTGCAGTCCAAGGGACTCTCAAGAGTCTTCTCCAGCACCACAATTCAAAAGCATCAATAACTATGTGACCTTGGGCAAATTAGTCCATTTTTCTGATCATCAGTATTTTTAATTTAAATAAAAAGGACAATACTATCCCCTTCCCCTTACCTTCCTAGGAATGATGGGAAGTCCAAATGAGGTCAAAGGTGTGAGGCACTGGAGGTGATGCCTTCTTGTGTCAAGGAGGCATCACCCTAAGAACACTTTGCTGGTCTCACTCAGGTTCTAAGGTGAGAGGGAAGCCCCTCGGAATCCCCCAGGGAGTTCTGCTGTGCTAGCTCCCCATGCCCTGTTGGGGGAGTGGTCCCAGCTTCAACCCACAGTCAGCCCCAAGCCGGCCTTCCTTCTGATGCCCAGCAGCAGCCAGACCCCGCCTCTGAAGCCATGGGTCCCTCCCGGCTTGTGCTCCCGTTCAAGACAAAGCTCGGGCTCTGGTGGCTTCTTCTGATCCCGGCAGGTGAGTGGGGGCGGTCCCCAGGGCATCCTGTCACACGTGTGAGCTCACATGCCTTGGGTTGAAACTGATGCAAGTGGGTTGGTGGTGGCCCGCCAGAGCCTCGAGGTCGGGGTGGGGGTTAGCTGTTCCATCGCGGGAAGGTAGGGGGCGCTTGCTGTGGCATCTGAACCTCCCAAGCCCAGTACTCCCCAGCTGCAGATTGCAAACTGTGCTGTGACCCTCCCAGGGCTCTTGGGCGTGTGAAGGAATGAAGGCTAGTGACTCACACCTGAGAAACACACATGGCAGGTGCTGTCGGTGTTTTGAATTTTCGAGCAGTGGTTCTCGACCTGCTCAGCAGGAAAATCCTGAAGAGGTGAAGCTGTTTGCAGAACAGGGTGAAACCAGACAAGGGTGATTCCATCAGACAATCTGGGGACACTTTGCCTAGCTGATGAGAAGGAGCGGATACCAGTGGTTTGAGGAAAAACAGGGAAGATTCTCCGAGTGGCAGAGAATTTCATGGTTAGCATTAGAGGTTTCTTGTAAGAGGATGGGAGTGAAAGCTCCAGGGGCCAGCTCACCCCGCACAATCAGGTGCTTCTCACAGTTTGCTGTCCCTTGGGTCTCCTCAGTTTCAGGCTTAATCTTGTCCCTCTGTCTGACTTCTTCCCACTGCTCTGCACCCCTCTGAGCACTTGTTTTCACCCCTTATCCATTGTTGCTAAGTTCAGTTGCTAAGTTGTGTCTGACTCTTTGTGACCTCATTGACTTTGGCACGCCAGGCTTCTCTGTCCTTCACCATCTCCTGGAGTTTGCTCAATTTCATGTCCATTGAGTCAATGATGCCATTTAATCATCTCATGCTCTGCTTCCCCCTTCTCCTCCTGCCCTCAATCTTTTCCAGCATCAGGGTCTTTTCCAATGAGTCAGCTCTTTGCATTAGGTGGCCAAAGTACTGGAGCTTCAGCTTCAGCAACAGTCCTTCCCCAATAGTCACAGAGTAACTGATATTGCTTGAGTGCCGACTATGCACTGATCTGCTGCTTTGTAAGCTCAAACAGACGTTATTATAATTCATTCTCAGCAGTGTTTTGACATAGGTACTGGATTAGTGTGCCCATTTTGCAGATAAGGAAACTAAGGTTCAGTGAGGCTGAGTGGCTCTGGTTGGATGGGAGAGGGAGCCAAGCGCCCAGCACCATGGACTCCTGGAAACCCTCATCTCCCCTCCTGTCCAACAGTATCCTCGGAGAGGGCCCCCCACACCCAAGCTGAGGACCGCCTCTTCAAACACCTCTTCAGGGGCTACAACCGCTGGGCGAGGCCAGTGCCCAACACCTCAGACGTGGTGATCGTGCGCTTCGGGCTGTCTATCGCCCAGCTCATCGATGTGGTGCGTCTGTCCTACCATCCTTCCCCCTTGGGATCAGCCCCGGACACGGACCCCTTTCCAGGGCTCCTCTGTTCCTTCCCATCTCCAGCCCTCCCAGCCCACCTCAGTCAGAGCGTCACCCTTCAGTGTCACAGGTGCCGTCTCCCTCCCACTCTCAGCCCTGGAGCCCCTCCAGGGAGGGCGTTGATTGGCAGCAGTGGGTTTTCTAAATGCCGACTTGTGTCGCCTGACATAAGCCCAGAGGCCCCAGGGTCCTGTGTGATCCTGAAGAATCAGAGTGAAGAGGGCAGTACCAGGAGGGGTGCAGGGTGGGCTGCACTTGGGGTGTCATGCCAAAGCTTCTTTGGTGAGTGGGGTCCTGAATCAGCTCCTCCCACTCTGCCCTGTTTTCTGGGGCTGGCTCCTCAGTCTAACTGCTTTCTCTTCCGCTACTGGTCAGGATGAGAAGAACCAGATGATGACTACCAACGTCTGGCTAAAGCAGGTGAGTGTCCCTCCCCGGGGCAAGGCAGGAGCTGGGTGGGAACTCAAGAACCCCAGACCCTCCCAGGACGCTTTCACTAGCAGCATGATTCTAAATTCACCTTTTGCCTGAGACCTGCCACTCAGCAAAGCCAGCTGATTGCAGGCCGCTCCTTGCGAGGGGCTGTGCTCCTGTGGCCAGGCTCCGAGTCCAGTGTCAGAGACCCCACCTACAAGGGCCATGTGGTCCCCTTTCCGGGAGTGGACATTGCCTACATCGCTGCTACATTTGCAGGTCAGCTCACTGAATTGTCACTGAAAACATGGGCGGTTTTATTCTGCCCGCTTTACAGCCGAGGGAAACCGAAGCAGAGTGCATCTCAGCTAAAGAGAGCGGCCAGGCGTGTCCCACTTGGTATCCCAGGCTTTCTACTGCAGAACACTGAGTGTTCTATGTCGCCGCTGCCTAACAGGCTTCCCCAAACCTCCCCGGCTTAAAGCAACAGACAGCTTATTATATCAAGAGATTGTATGGCCAGGCGTTTTAGTGCTTTGCTTGGGGTCTCCTGGTGGCACTTGGCTGGTGGCTGGAGGGTCCAAGGTGGTTTCACTCACATGTCCATCCCTCAGCAGGGATGTCTGGAAGGCTCTGAAAGACTCTGGAAGCCAGGCCCAGCCATGCCTTCTCCTCCAGGCACTTTCAGGATCTCTCCATCTGTTCTCTCCAGAAGAGGAGCTGGACTCCTCACCTGATGGCCCAGGGACCCCAGGGAAAGGGTCCCATGAGACAGGAAATGTAGTTGTTGCCTCTTAACCAGAAACTGGCTCAGCATCAGTTCTGGTAATGGGTGGGCGGCCCTCTTTGATGTGCCACTCACAAGGGCAGAACTCGGGTGCACGGGCATTTTAGATCTGTCTCCCTTGCCCTCCTCATGCTCACACTGCCCCAGACCCTGAAGTGGAGATGGGAGAAGACGAGAAAGAGGGCCCAGCCGTTTGCCTACGTCCCTCCCATGGTGTCTTTTCCCCAACCCACTGGCAACCTAACCCTCCCCATCTCAGAGGCTGGCACTCTGAAAACCATAACCATCAGAATTTTGATGGACATTTCTGTTTGAGTCATTTTAAAATATATATATTTATTTTTTATTTTTGGCCGTGCTGGGTCTTCGTTGCGGCGCATGGGCTTTCTCTAGTTGTGGGGTGCGTGCTTCTCGTTGTTGTGGCTTCTCTTGTTGCAGAGTATGGGGTGCGCTCGGGCTTCAGAAGTTGCTGCACGAGGGCTTAGCCGCTCCCCAGCGTGTGGGATCTTCCCAAACCAGGGGTCCAACCCGTATCTGCTGCATTGCAAGTCAGATTCTTTTCTTAAGTTTAATTTATTGTTAAATGAAACAAAGATGAATATTTTTAATGAAAAAAGGTACAATGCACAAAGAAGATAGACATCATAAACCATTAGACACTTAACATAAAGAAACTAAGATATATAAAGCAAAAATCAGAAGAAATAGAAGGGAAAAGAATAAAATATATAATAGTGAGATATGTTAACATCTTTCTCAGAATATTTTATCAAGTGCAGAAAAAATAATAATAGGAGCATCTTGAATGATGTTATTAACAACTAAAATATGATAGATTTCCATTTTTATTAGTTTGTATAAATCTTATACCCTACACAAATATATTTAAACTTTTGTATCTCATATGCTGTTATTAATGTCCATAGGACATTTATAAAAACTGGCAAAGAGATCAACATAATTAAATTTTAAAAGTAGGTTTCTTTTTTGTGTGATTCAGTTATACACATGCATTATTTTTGAAGTTATTTTCCACTATAGGTTATTATAAGATATTGACTATAGTTCTTTGTGCTATACAGTAGCAAGCCAGCTTCTTAACCCTGGACCACCAGGGACGTCCTGTCTGAGTCTTTTGAATGAACATAATACTGTCAGTGTCTGATGTGCCATTCCCGCTCCATAGGCTGTAGGTTGTGTGGGGCTGTCTGCTGGCCATTCAGGCTTGACAACTGGATGTTTAGATGGATGACACGGATCAGACCCCTCTGATGCTGTTGACCTTGGAACTGTGGGGGGCATGAGGTTCCTCTTTACAGAGGAGATGCAGAGCCATGAAGGGACTTGGGAGGCCACAGCAGTGCAAAGATCAGATCTTGAACCTGGGTGACTGCAAGTGTCCCTGTGGGCCAGTTATCTTGGCTTCAGGGACTGGGGTAGTAAAGAGAGAAAGAAGCACTGCAGCAGGAGTCAGGCCAACAGCACCGCCTCTGACCAGCCTGTGATACCATGCAAGTTAGTCTCAGAGCCTCACTCTTCTCGTCTGTAAGATGGGGATACTACAATCTATTTGCCAATTCATATAACCCAACTTGGTGTGGATGCCCCTCAACTGCTGGTCGAATCTGAAAACTGACACACAATGGACTGGGGGAAAGGGAAATATTTATAAAGACCAATCCCTTTCAAAATGGTTCCTCAATGTCCTGAAAAATCATGACAATTTTAGGAACATTTTTATCTTTCCTGTTTTGCAATCTGGCTTCTCTTTCTGTCTAAGCCTTCACCTGAAAGTGAAAGTGAAGTCGCTCAGTCATGTCTGACTCTTTGAGATCCCATGGACTGTAGCCTACCAGGCTTCTCCATCCATGCGATTTTCCAGGCAAGAGTACTGGAGTGGGTTGCCATTTCCTTCTTCAAAGCTTTCACCTACACACAATTAATTAGCACCACTGCTAAGCCAATGTCTTCCCAAGCGTGGTTTTGCTACCAATGGCAGTTTCTTGAGATGATTTTAGTTGGCTTCAAAGCCTCTTAAAAAAAAAGTTATACATTTATATTTTAGTAGATGGCTTCAAATGATGTGGGTTTTCCAGCTACTTCATGATGTAAAATTCAAAAATTTACGTAAGTTTAAAACTAGTGAATCAGTTTAAAGGAAAATATTAAGTAAATGCTTAATACTAAAGCTAAGTAAACGCTAACACACTGCTAAGGTGGTGCACATATATGGGCAAGACTTATGAAGTTGGGGCTTGAGTGCTTGAAATCTGGGAATCATTGAGCAGGATCAAAGCTTTCCCTCTCATGTGCCTGCCTCCTCCAAAGCCTCCTGTTTTGCTTCTTGGACCCCCTGCCCAGTTGATGAGTTTGTATAAATGTTGCACAGCTATCCTTAGGGGGGAAAGGTTACCATGCACTCGAGCCTTTTCAAGAGTGCACCACTGCACTATTTTAGTGCAAATGCACCAAAGGAAAATGACCCTGAGAATTAGGGCAAGTTTGACGACTCGGAGACCTGGGTTCAAGCCCCAGCGCCGCCCCTTGTTGAGGCCATACCCTCCAAGCTTCACTTGAAAAACACAGATCCCGCGAACCAGCCAGGAATCAGGGCTACTAGGGGGACTTAGCAGCAGCAGCAGGGGGCGCTCTGGAGCACAGTTGGAAAGTCACTGGTTGACTGTCCTTTCTCAGCGGTGTAACTCTGGTGTGTTGTTTTTACCCATCTGGTCCTCAGTTTTCTTATCTGTTAGATGGGGCAGTACTTCTACCTGCTCTGCCCTCTTTGCCCAGCTCTTCCCACTGAGGCTCTTGCTAGACAGAGGGTGTGAAAAACCTTTGCAAACTGTGATGCACTAAAGAAATGTTACTATAAATGAGTGAGGTTGCTTACCGGGGTCGTCCAGCTAGGAACCGGCATAACAAAGGCGGGAGTAAGGGTGACCCACGGTCAGATGTGACCTGGACTTTGAGTTCTAGAGCTGGGGCAAAACGAGAGCTTGGTCGTCTCAGACTGAACTCCCCTTTCCTGCCTCAGGGCCCTTTGGGGGCTTCGTGGCCCTATCTATGCTGCAGGACCGGGTGAGGAGCTCCGGATGCTCTGTGATCGGCTGCGGGGCGTCCCTAAGCTGCCCGAGGTTTCCCCAGGCCCCCTCCCCTGGCAGGGCCGCTTACGGGACTCCCTTCCCCACGCACAGGAGTGGAGCGACTACAAGCTGCGCTGGAACCCGGTTGATTTCGGCAACATCACATCCCTCCGCGTCCCTTCGGAGATGATCTGGATCCCAGACATAGTCCTCTACAACAAGTATGAAGCGGCTGGGGTCCTGGGACACCGTGCCTGCGAGGGGCGGGTAACTTGATGCTGGGCTGCGTTGGCCTTGGGAGGCGCGCCCCCTCGTGGCCCAGCTGCGTTGACTTCCTCTCAAACTCCTGCTTTGCTCGACACTCCTTTTTCTTGATTCTCTTCTTTCATTTCATGCTTTCACTCATACACCCCAAGTTTACTGAGCACCTACTATATATCCGTGCCTGCGCTCTGCTAGTGGGACACAGACTTGCCAACACTGAATATTGTTTGATAAATGCGGTTGATGCAGGTTGTGGAAACAATGCCTTAAGGGTTGGCGTTTTTGCAGGATGGCATGATGGTTGGAACAGGTAAGCAGCATCTCCCGGTAGCACCTTTAAAGGGAGCGGAAGTGACATTTAAAAATATTATTTATAGTTGCCTTGTATTCAGAACCAAAAAAGACCTGTCTTTGAGTGTAAGGACTAAAAGTTCTCCAGGGGATCTTCCTGACCCAGGGATTGAACCTGGGTCTCCTGCATTAGCAGGCAGATTCTTTACTATCTGAGCCCCCAAAGAAGCTCCCCCCTAAAAAAAAATGTCAGGGGAATCTAAAGAGAGCCCCAGAGGACCAGGTCGGTTTTTTTTTTTTTTAAATAGAAGATATAAAGAACTACAACTTCATTTATGTTTAGTAGCCAGCAATTCTTTATTTAGAAGTCAAGAACTGAAAATTAAGAGATGTTTGGCATGATACTTGTCTAAAAATGTTTTCTAAAAAAAAAAAAAGAATAAAAAATAAAAATGTTTTCTAAAGTGGGGCTCCAGAAAGCACTAGTCCCTGGAGATAGGACTAGGTATGAAAAATAGTTTTGCGTTCAAATAATTCTAGATAACCTTGTATGTCATTAAAACCCCTTTGGCACCCCATCCCTAGTCCTTTGGAAAATGTCATTTTTAAATGTTGTTAGAAGTTGGACAGACAAGACACCCCCTGAGCCCAGCATTTCCCAATTCATTTGACCCAAATTTGGAAAAAGCTATTTTTAAACAATAGAATAAAGGGAAACAGTTTCACTTCTGAAGTGTGGTGCCCTTGGATAGGTCAGGAAGATGACAGCGATCCCTTTACACTGCCCAGCCCCAATCAGGCCCAGAGCCCTTTCATCTGAGCCATCTCTGTAAACACACATTTGGCAGGGATCATCCGCACTGTCTCACACTGACCACCCACCTCACTCAGCATCCCTCTCGTTTCTGCTTCTCGATTCTGGCAGAGCGCAGGAGCACAGTCCTCGCATCAGCCAGGGCCTGGAGTTTTAGGATTGCCAACAAGGCCAGTGTTACCTGATTATAACAGGAAATTCCTCTGATAGAACAAAAGTTCAAGTCAAATTCTTACAGACATTTAAAGAAAGGTCTCTCCTCCAGCCAAACCCTCCACTTCGGGTTAAAAAGACCCGGGACAGTGTTTGGGTCGTTCCTCAAAATAGGGGCCCATGGTGCCATCTAGTGGTCATTGAGTATGATGTCTTCAAAAATTAAACACCTCAAAATTCTGGTTTCCAATCGGCTTAAATCTCTAGCCTGAAACTACTGCAAGGGAAAGAAGTGTCTCTTCCTGTGTATTCTGGTTCACCTGCTTTTAGGATTGACCGTGGAAACGGCGGAGGGAAGTATGGCTGGGGCCAAGAGCCCATTGCGCCACTTTGCCGGGGCAGTCAGGGACTCAGGCTCCCAGGAAGCCCTACTGGGCTGGTCACCGCTGTTCCAGTGTCACCAGCGTCCTTATGGGCCCTTAGATGGGTAGCCTCAGGAGGCTGCTGGCCTCCTCTCTCACCACTCCCACCTAGGTCGCACCCCCGCCCCCAACTCACCATCCAGCAGTTCCCCTAGCCCAAGCATAGTCTGTGAGCCATAGCCTTTCATCCTCCATTTCTTGTTCCGCGGAAGCTCTGCTGGATCATTCTCCACCCCAGCTTTCTGCCAGATCCTACCATCCATCCATCAAGGCTTGGCTAAAATGGCAACTTGCTCACCGGAAGGGAGCTCCCCCCAATAGTTGTTGGGGAGCACTCTGATTGGCCTCCTAATGCTGTTGCCAAACTGCCTCCCTTGGACTGTAGATGTTTGGGGCTGGTCTTTTCTTTGTAGTTCCCCCAGGGCAGGCTTGAGTCTCCCATCCCATCCCCCCCAACAGCCCCCATAGCGGCCCTGGTAGGGGCAGCTGACTCAAATATGCCTGTTAACTGGATGGATTCCTCCTTCACCAGCAAAATTATCAAGTCTCTGCTGAGGAAGAAACTAAAGTCCTGGGTAGAAAAGACAAGACCCCCAGCAGAGGGGCTTCATCGCCACCTGTGGCAGATGGTGGGGGGTATAATATAAAACAACCAGGGCGGCTCAGCGGCAAAGAATCTGCCTGCCAATGCAGGAGACACAGGAAATGGGTTCAATCCCTGAGTCCCCTGGAGAAGGAAATGGCAGCCCACTCCAGTATCTCCCGGGAAGTCCCATGGATAGAGGAGCTTGGGTGGCTCCAGTCCATGGGGTCGCAGCACAATTACCCTAAAATGTTAAATGAATACAAACAGGCCATCAAACTATGTATATACCCTATGATCACAAATATATAAAAATTCTATATGTGTTGTCTAGCTGATGATCAAATATATGTGATATATATATGTATATGTATACATATATCATCAACAACAGTGATTATTTTAAAAATTCTTGGTACTTTCCTAGATTCTTCAAAATTCCTACTTTTGTAGTGAAGAAGGTGGTGTCTGAAAGACAACTCAGGTAGCTCTAGCTGCCTGTGTTCTGAAGTCTTGCTTGTTCAAGTCCCAACAGCCCGGCGTGGTCTGGCTGTGTTATTGGGGTCCCCCTGCTAGTAGTTATCTGGAGTAGCCTGGGTTGGGCAGCTGGGGTTCCCCAGGCGCCCCCCCCCAATGCCTCTCCTCTCCTCAGTGCAGATGGGGAGTTCGTGGTGACCCACATGACCAAGGCCCACCTCTTCTCCTCGGGCATGGTGCACTGGGTACCGCCCGCCATCTACAAAAGCTCCTGCAGCATCGACGTCACCTTCTTCCCCTTCGACCAGCAGAACTGCAAGATGAAGTTTGGCTCCTGGTCGTACGACAAGGCCAAGATCGACCTGGTGCAGATGGAGCAGACGGTGGACGTGAAGGACTACTGGGAGAGCGGCGAGTGGGCCATCGTCAACGCCACGGGCACCTACAACACCAAGAAGTACGACTGCTGCGCCGAGGTCTACGCCGACGTCACCTACTACTTCGTCATCCGGCGCCTGCCACTGTTCTACACCATCAACCTCATCATCCCCTGCCTGCTCATCTCCTGCCTCACCGTGCTGGTTTTCTACCTGCCCTCCGACTGCGGGGAGAAGATCACGCTGTGCATCTCTGTGCTGCTCTCGCTCACCGTCTTCCTGCTGCTGATCACCGAGATCATCCCCTCCACCTCGCTGGTCATCCCACTCATCAGCGAGTACCTGCTCTTCACCATGATCTTCGTCACCCTGTCCATCGTCATCACCGTCTTCGTGCTCAACGTCCACCACCGCTCCGCCAGCACCCACAACATGCCCCACTGGGTGCGGGTGGCCTTTCTGGGCTGTGTGTCCCGCTGGCTTCTCATAAGCCGGCCATTGCCACCCATGGAGCTCCGAGACCCTCCGGATCTGAAGCTCTGCCCCTCCTATCGCTGGCTGGAGACCAACGTGGATGTGGAGGAGAGAGAGGAGGAGGAGGAGGAAGGCAGATGGGCGTGTGCGGGCCCTTTGTCCCCCTCCGTGGGCGTCTACACCCATGGGAGTCTGCACCCAGGGGCCTCGGGTCCCAAGGCAGAGGCCCAGGTGCCGGACGGCGGGCTCCTGCTGTCCCCTCGGGTACAGAAGGCCCTGGAGGGTGTGCACTATATTGCTGATCACCTGCGGGCTGAGGATGCTGATTCCTCGGTGAGTGGGGGCTGGGGGAGGGTCCCTCCCCTGGGGGACTCTACCAGCCTAGAATGGAACCACTCCCCCTCCCCCGAGGGTGTTGGCTTGCACCAACCCAGTCTCCTCCATACGGACCATCTCCCTTTGGCATGGCCTTGGAATCTGGAATACATTGTGAAGGAGAACAGCTGGCTGGCAGCTCTTATGACAGTTATTGGCAGAACAGCAGTAAAGGCTGTCCCAGCTCAGCTTAACTGGGAGGTAGCAGGACAGAGGAGGAGGGGTCCTCCACGCCATCCTCATGCCAGCCATGTCCCACCAGTGCCCATAGGTGGGCGGACGGAGGTGAGCGGAGGCGGGCGGAGGGAGTTCATCAGGAGGTCCTCCCAAACCGGCCTGCTCCTTTGTCCTGCTGGGCTCCCCTTCCCCGTCTGTGTCCTGGGCTCTGGGCACTTTGTCAACTTTACTATTCACCCACAAACCCTGAGGAGCTTGGCTGGGCCAAGTGGGCTCCCCTCCACCCCATCCCGGCTGTGTTCTGCATATTAGGTGACAAGGCCACCGCCCAGGGTCACAGAATTCTTCTCACCAACCTCCGGAAGGATGAAAGGCCTGGAGGTTATGACTGGGTGGCCTTGTTGAGTAGATAAGAAAAATTAATTATTATCTAATCTGGAAGCACTTGGCTGGGCTGTGAGCCCTAATCCCACGAAACCCTCAACCCCTACTGCATATGCCCCCTACTAGCCTTCTCTGGCCATACCCTCACCTACCTTCCCAGTGGCTGGGTGAGTGGTTGGGGAGGCAACTGTGGGGGAAACAAAGCCTTCACCATTTTGCAACTTCTGAGTGTTGTGCTGAAAATCACCCTCCTCCAGGGAGAGTTCACGCCCCTGGGTGATTCTAGAACCTTCTGTGTCCCTCGAACTTCCATAACCTGGAACTTGAGAGCCCATGGAAAGGCTCTAGGCTATTGTCATAGGGGTGGGATAGGGTGGGAATCACTAAGTGAGGGTTATTTGAGTCTTGAGACACTTCTGTCATCCCCACCTCCCCACCCCACCCCACTGCCTTAGCTTCCCAAGGTCTCAGGGGGGTTGCCACTGCCCCCAGCACCATCCTCCTAGGGGCTGCGAGTGGATGGGTCACCTCCCCTTTCACTGTGCACCCATCTCCCCCTGCAGGTGAAGGAAGACTGGAGGTACGTGGCCATGGTCATTGATAGGATATTCCTCTGGTTGTTTATCCTCGTTTGCTTCCTGGGGACCGTCGGACTCTTCCTCCCTCCCTTCCTGGCTGGAATGATCTGATGTCACATCACCTGCTCTGGCCGGAGGTGGCATGGCTGACTGTCGTTCCCTGCTGTCACCTCTGGAGTTCGCCTTCGGGGTCAGTGCCATCCGACTGCAGGTGTCTCTCCATGGAGTCCCAACGTGGAAGTCTGCTTAGAATGCTTCGCTTGACATTTTTATACTATGTGCTGAGAATCTGCTGGGTACAGAGCCCTGTTTGGGTTTTAGGAGTTGGGCGAGGAGGAGCTTGCTTTGCAGAGGGTTGCCATGTGGCGAGGACGATGTGAGGATGGTGACGTGGTGATAAGATGCTCCTAGGATGCAAGAGGGATGGGAGGGCCAAGATGGGGGACCCAGGGGGTGGGGTGGGGCCATGTGAGGCGGCTCAGACATCAAAGGAGGGGTGTGTGGGCAGAGGGTGCCTCAGGGGGCAGGGAGCTCAGGTGCCCACCCCTTCCACACCCCCACGTGCTCTCTCTGACACTCCAGGGAAAACTGGCCACCCCAGGCCCAGTCCACCTGCCTCAGTTCTTTCCAAGAACCCCCTGCCCCGGCGTCATTTTTATTTCTGACCCCTCCTGCCCTGTGGACGCAGCCCCACCCCCCTACCACTCCTCCTACTTCCCCAGAAGCAGGGATGCTCCCAGCCTTGACCTCCTGGTGTAGAGATGTTCCCTCTGGTTATTCCATCTCCCAACCAACTCACAAATGAGGAAAGAGAGCAAGTAAAGCTGCAGTCACTGCTCAGGCAGCTGCGACCCCCTCCAGCCCCCCAGAACCCTGGTTCCGTGGATGGCAGCTGGGAGGATGCACTGGCTTTTCTTTGTGGCAGCGGAAGGGCTGTCCGGGTCCCCCCTGGAAAGCCGCCCTCGGGTCAGGCACCCGGGGCGAAGGGCTGGAGCACGCGGGTACCCAACCCCAGCACCCTGGCTTTACCATGTACCCTGGGGGTTGAGCCCTGGCTTCGTTTGGCTTTTTGATCTCTGCCCAACAGAACCACAGTCGATTCCTTCCAGGGCCTCAGAAGTTCAGACAAACGAAATAATCAAACCACAAAGCAAATGGTACAATTTTATTTCATCCACAAGTCAAATATAAAGGAGGTAAAAGAGTGTTCTGCACATACACAAGAAAGGGAGGGAGAGAGGGCGTGGATGAGAGAAAGGGAGAGCAAAGATAAGTAAGAAAAGACAGTAAGAAAAGAGAAGGAAGGGGCCAGGGAGGGAAGAAAAGCAAGGGGGTGAGGGATGCGAAGGCGTCCAGGTCCAGTTTGGCCTTGTTTCTCCCCTCCTCCCCTCTCTGCGTGAGGAGGACACAGCCTCCTGGGCGCCAACTCCCAATAGCTTGTCCCTTGACCATCCCAGGCCCCGCTCCGCCTCTCACTGGAGCCCACGGCTGTCGGTCCAGACCGGACTCACATTAAATAAATTCCAATATACACTATACAAGAAGGCCAGGTCCATGCCTCCGGCCTCCCCACTGAAAACCCCTCTCGGCGCCTCCCTCTGTGCACGGGGCTAGGGGAGGGGACCTCCGTGGGCAGAGGAGGGAGAAGGACTAGCTTGGTTCCCCAATCGGCCTGCCCTGTCCCTGCGTAAAGCCATCGGGGCCACAAGGATCTGCCGCGTGACTCCCTTGGGCCAGGCAGGAGTTGCCGGCGGGCAGCAGCCGCGCTCCCTCTGAGCCTCTCTGTCACCCCCTGGTATCCTGCGGCCCAAAGTCCCCTCTGTCCAGCTGCGGCCTGGGCAGCACAGTCTGGGAGTAGGGTGGGGAGAGGCGACGTGCAAAACGGCAAGGGAAGAAGGACCCCCCTCAGCCTTCCCTCCCCAAGTGGGCCCACGGACCGAAGGCGAGGCAGGGGCCGGGAGAAACGGGCGGGCGGGGCGGAGACGCGGGCGGGGGGCGCCGCCCTCTTCACTCTGCCAGCGGGCGGGCCAGGTTGGCCAGGACCTTGGCTTGGTCCACGGCGTCCAGCAGGTTCTTGGCGTCCACGGCCAGCGTGTGGGAGGCGGTGAGCATCTGCCGCTTGCACTCCTCACTCAGGGAAGTCACGGCATTCTGCTGGGCCAGTCGCATCTTATTGATGAGCTCTGCCAGGTCCTTGTTGAGCAGTTTCTGGGTCCCCTCGATCTGCAGGAAGAGCACACGGGAGGGGCTGGGACCCCGAGGGGCTGCCAAGTCCAGGCCCGGAGGGCAGGGAAGCCCCACAGAGGTCCAACTTGGTGCTGGCCCAGGAAGGTGGGGCCGGGGGAGGGGCTGGGGGCGGGGCTGACCCAGCCCTGGGCTGGTCCAAGGCCCGCGCTGGTTGGAGCCAGGTCGTCCAGGTCAAACACTGCAGGCACTCCAGGTCCCAACCTACCCAAGTCAGCCCCTTTCAATCCAGCCCCACAAACACTCCCTCCCTGGCAACATGCCTGGGTGCTGGCCCGACACACAGTGAATGCTGAGGAGTCAAGTGCCTCCACGCATCTGTTCACTCTCTACAATCACATCAATAGATCTGGGCTCTAGGGTTTTATTAACCACTATATCCTGGGATCTAGTGCATGGCTGAGCAAAGACTTGGCGCTCAAGAGATATTTATCAAGTGAAAGAAGAGCCCGGCCTTCGCTGCCCAGGTGTGGCGCTCTCATGCCCGGCGGGACCAACCTGGAGGGGGCTCCGCTGGACTGCCACAGCCACCCCGAAGGGGTCTGGGAAGTGCCCACACCCCTTGCCCTGTCCTGCCTCTCTTGAGTGGTCACAGATGGTGGGGACAGTGGCGGGACGCAGTGGGTCAGCAGTGTCACACTGCTGACCACTAGGAAGCCTGGCAGGGGGTGTGGGGGTATGTGACTGGGTTTCCAGACAGAAAACGAACAGATGCTCAGAGGCACTTCCTCTGTTTCCAGTCCCGTGGTAACAAGTTACCACAAACACTGTGGCTTAAAATAAGGCAGATTTATGCTCTTACAGTTCTGGGGGTCACAAATCTGGAATGGGTCCCTTGGGGCCAATGTCCAGGTGACGGCGGAGCTAAGTTTCTTCTGCCAGCTCCAGGGGAGAATTTTGTTCCCTGCCTTTTCCAGCTTCAACAAGGCTGCTGCCTTCCTCAGCTTGTGGATCCTTCCAGCAATGGCCTCATTCCGACCTCTGCTTCTGTTATCCCATCTCCTTCTCTGACTCTTAGGAGACCTCTGCTTCTACCTCCTTCTTACAAGAACCCTTGTGACTACATTGGACCCACTTGGATAATCCAGCATAACTTTCTCACCTGAAGATCCTTAACTTAATCACCTGCAAAGTCCTGTCTGTCATGTAAGGTCACATAGACACAGGCTCTGAGGACGCAGGCATCCTTTTTTTGGTTGTTGTTCAGTTGCTAAGTCATGTCTGATTCTTTGTGACCCCACGGACTGCAGCGTGCCAGGCTCCCCTGTCTTCCACTGTCTCCCGGAATTTGCTCAAACTCGTGCGTTGAGTCACTGATGGTATCTAACCATCTCATCCTCTGCTGTCCTCTTCTCCTTTTGCCTTCAATCTTTCCCGGAATCAGGGTCTTTTCCAGCTATCTTGTGGGGGCGCGTTATTCTGCCTACCACTGGCACCATCTCAGGATAGAGCACTGGCACTCCTGTTTTGGTTTTCGGTGGTTGCTTCTCATTTAAATAAAGAAAATTAGATTAAATGATAATTGAAGAAACCTTAACTGCTATTTCTGTGACACACCTTGACCTTAGTAAGAAGGGTCACTAGATAAAAGAATCATGGACAGGATGGGGCTAAAAAGGAGTGTGTGTGTCCTCCTTTGCCTGTCCTTAGGCACTAAGAAGTCACTGCCAATCATCTGAGACCTAAACTAGGAAATTCGCCCCGGAAAGCCGGCGAGGCCCCTGGGTTCCAACTCCACCCCCTAGTGGTACCTGCAGAGATATGCAGTGCAGAGCCACCTGCTGAAGGCCCGCAGAGATGGGACTGCCCAGGTGGCCCTTCCGGGTCTCCTGTTGAAACACAGCTGGAGCAGGAGAAGGGGGCAAGGGACAGTGGATGACACCGACGGGACGAGACACTCACCTCTGTCCGTGAGGACGACGGCAAGGAAGGCAGGAGGTCATCCACACTGCCGATGAGCTTCCGCAGGGTCAGGCCCACGTTCTGGGAGAGAGAGGGGCGCGTGGCCGTCACCCTTTGCTTTTTTCTTTTGAAGTCTTTATTGAATTTGTTACAACATTACTTCTGTTTTATGTTTTGGTGTTTTTGGCCCCAAGGCATGTGGGAATCTTAGCTCCCCGACCAGGGATTGAAACTGCATTCTGTGTACTGGAAGGTGAAGTCTCAGCCACTGGACCGCCAGGGAAGTCCCACCCTTTGCTTTTTGAGAATGCCATGTCTCCCTTGAGAAGAGCCCTCCTGGGATGGTGTCTGCCTTCCGAGGCTACCTGGGACTAACTTCTCTTTGACAACCTTGCTCTAATGGGGTCTAATCGGGCAGACTGGGAAGCTCAGCCCCTCCCGCATCCTTCCAGGGATGGGCTGAGTGGCCTCCGTCCCCCAGGTCCACGGCTCCTCCCTGGTTCTCACCTTCACTACCACCACGTAGCCCTCGGGAGGCAGCTGGCAGAGCTCATTCTTGAGATCCAGCACGGCCCGCACCAGCTCCATGACGTTGAGGTACACCAGGTCGTCGGTCCGATCCAGGTTGGCTGTGGGCTGGATGGACTGTGGCGGGGAGAGGAGGAGGAGAAGCAGGTGGCCAGAGGGGAGGGTGACGAGTCAGAGGGACACACCATTCTTTCCTGGGCATGCACTAGTGGTGCCAACTCAGCCACCAAGGTGTCTCTCTGAAATAATAGTGCCTGGTCCTGGGGGGGCCACCTTCCCTTCTGCTTCTGGGGCAATGGTTCTTATGTGAGAGTCTGCCTGGGTGTCTTAAAAAAGTTCTGGTGGCCAGCCTCACAGCAAAGCAACCGAACCATCAGCTGGGCGTAGGGGTCAGGCGGTGTCAAAGCTCTCAGAGGATTCTCATGGGCTGCCAAGGCTGAGAACTGCTGCTCCAGAGTGAAGAAAGCAGCAGATGCCCCAGAACACGGGGGTGCAGGGAGCCAGTGGGGGTCCACACCTCCTGCTCCTTGGGACAGGAGAGCTTTCCTCCAGGTCAGGGAGGGGGCTGGTCTTTCCTTTGCTTTTTTTTTTTTTTAAATGAATTAGTTGTGTGGCTTTAGACAAGACACTTGCCCTCTCTGGGCCTCAGCTATATAATGAGGATATAGGACTGGATTCTTTCTGTGGGCCTCCGCAGTCTTTGCAGTCCAGGCCTTCAGTCTTGTGGGGCCCTGATTCCAATCCATTACCAGCTTCAGCAGAGCCAGCACATACCTGTGCGCCGAGCCGTGGCGGTTTCTGTGGGGGCGCTGTGAACTCCGCTGCAAAGGGAAGGGACAATGAGTAGGGATGTCCTCAGCACCCTGACCCCTCCCTTCATAGGTGCTGATGACCAAGCCCAGCTCTTCTCCACTACTACCAGGAGACCCCAGGGAAACGGGACCTGAAACCCAGGACAATGTAAAGTAACCTCTGGTCTCCCTGGTCTTCTATACGCAGGGACAGGCACTACAGTCCATTTCAAAGACAGAAAAAGCCAAAGTCCTGGTGGAGATGGAGTGACGGCAGTGGGTGTTCCAGCACACTGGGCCCTGAGACGCTGACCCTTGACTGTCATGAGAGAGAAACCTGCTCTGAAGGCAGCAGGTGACCCTGGAGCCTCACCCAGCAGGTGCAACAGCCACCGATGTGGTAGATTTGTGAAGCTTCCCTATTGTCTGCTTTGTCCATCTGGGGGTCAAGGAAGTGAACTGCTAGAAGCATGCTGTTCTCTGGACACTCCGATGAACAGAGACACACAGGCCGTGTGGGACTGCTTGGAGTAGCAGTCAGAAGACCTGATTCCACTTTCCACTCTTCCCCCAGAGTGGGGTGAGACTAGGGCAGCTCACTGACAGGCCCCGGGCCTTAAGTGTCATCTGTCAAGTAGGAGCATTCACTTAGAAGGGCCCTGCAGGAGCCAGATGCCTGGGCTCAAATCTGGGCCCTGCTAATCACTAGCTGTGTGACTATGGGAAAGTCACTTGCCCTTCCTGCGTATGTTTCATGTCCTTTGTAAAATGGGCATCATGATACATTGTACCTATTGCATAGGAAGGACTGCTGTCGGGTTTAAACTGACATTTTAAAGCAACTTGGGCCAGTGCTTGTCATTGTCTTTGGTGGCTGCCATGGTCACCATCACCATCATCATCAGCCCCATCCCCCTAGGATGGTGATGAGCCTGGCTCACTGCAGGACTGGGACCTGGGAACCTTTGCAGCAAAGTCTGCACCAGGACAATACAAAGAAACAATATGGGACTAAAAATAGCTGTGTGCATGCCGCAGTTGGGGCGAATTCTGGACCGAAAGATACAAAAAAGACAAAAAAGAAACCCCAAATAACACCCAAGAACCATTTCTGAAGAGCCAGGAGCAAAAACCTGGGTGTTGGGAGCAAAAGCAGGGTACTGCTGCATGCCCCACTGCACTCACCATCACAGAGGGGTGGGCAAACCACCTAAGCCACCCCTCCTGGATGATCCCTGGATCCACCCCTATCCTCACCCCATGTACGGAATGACCTCCCCGCTGCCTCTGGGAGCAAGCAAGAGAGCCTGTTGTTTTCACTTCCTCCTGCAGCCTGCGGCGCAGGAGCCCCCATAAAGTTTGCCTGAATTTCCTGTCAGGCCTCTAGTCAATTTCTGTTAATTGGGAAAGGCCAACGATCCTAGCGGGTACCACTCCCTCCCTGCCTTTCAAGGAGGCTCCTGGAAAGACTCTGGGGTCGCGCAGGGGTGGGTGGGAAAGTCAGTTGGCCCCGCCCTCTTCTTGCTTCCGTTCAGATGGCCCCGCCCTGTTTCTTTCTTCCCCTCCTGGGGCCTAGGGAGGAGAAGAGGCACTTGGGAGCGATGTCGTGGCGCTGCTTTAGAGCTTCTGACAGAGTGGGTGGGAGACAGGAAGGATCACCAAGTCCTCCAAATAAATGCAGCAGCAGAGAGGCGGGGACAGGAGCCATGCCGCGAGAGGGGTGGGGGGCAGCCGTCGGAGCAGGGGTGGAGGTGGAGGATAGGAGGTGGTGTATATCGACTCCCAAACTGGGCCTCTCTGCACACTCTGAACTCAGGACAGATGATTCTATGGCAAATACACTCCCTTTGCTCTCGGCAAGGGGCAGGGAAGGCGGCTGCACACAAGATGCCACGCCCGGGGACGTTCCCGCGGAGAGGAAGGGTGCTCACACTTACTGTAGCCGGCCTCCTTCTCTGGGGTCTGGAAGGAAGGAAAGAGAAGAGGTCACTGGTGCAGCCCTGGGGGCCACCCACGTCCCCCCTTAGCTTGTTCCCGTCCCCCAGAGGTTTGGAGATCTTGTAGCTGCAGGGGTCCTGGGGACTCCCTGACCGGAAGTGACTGGGGTGGGGGGCTCCTGTGCCGGAGCGGGGCGGCGTTAAGAGTGCAGATCAAGTGTGCGCTCAGCAAGGAGACTCCAAGATCAGAGTGAAGTGGAAAAAGGTGCTCTCGTGGTGAGAGGCAGAGAGGGCGAGGTGGGCAGGTGTGGAGTCGGAGGTCCCACTAACTACCCTATAAGCCCTCCCTCCGGATAGAGTGGTCTCCCGGTGACTCACCAGCGGGGACTTGTCGTTCATGTAAACCATGGGGTCCTGCAGAGGGGGAAAACAAATCAGAGGACTTAGGATTCTGTAACCAAAAACTCCAAGGATGCCTGGAGAGCAGGTCACTCCAGCCAGGTGGGGAGCGAAAGGGGACAAGATGGCATGGGTCTCTCCCCGGGGAGCATGGTTATCAGAACGTGTTCAGGAGCTTTCCGGGTGGCTCAGCGGTAGAGCGTCCACCTGCCAATGCTGGAGAGACCGGTTTGATGCCTGGTCTTGGAGGATTCCACATGCTGCGGAGCGACTAAGCCCATGCACCACAACTACTGAGCTTGTGCTCTAGAGCCTGTGAGCCGCAACTACTGAAGCCCAAGCTCCCAAAAGCCTGTGCTCTGCAACAAGAGAAGCCACTGCCACGAGAAGATCGGGCATCGCAACTGTAGAGTAGCTTGCTACAACTAGAGAAAAGCCGGCGTGCAGAAACGAAGACCCAGCACAGCCAAAAATGAAAAAATAAGTAAAATTATTTAAAAAAAGAAGGTGTCCAGCAGAGGTGTCGGGGCATGTCCTCTCCCTCCCCTGGCTGGGCTTTCTCCTCACCAGGGCTTTCTCCTCCTGCCTCAGCCACTGGTAATCTTCCACCATCTGCTTCTGCTGCTTGTCCAGGAGTTGCCGCATCTTGAGCCTCTCGGCCTCCCACAGCTGCTGGGCCTCCTCCCGGCTGCTGGGGCGGACGAAGTCCTCCTCCTGGGAGCACAGCGGGGGAGATGGCAGAGGACACAGTCAGCCCAGTCTCCGCACCCAGGGAGGACAGTCCTCTGGAGAGCCTTGTGGGAGCCACACGCCTTGGCCTAACTGGTCTCAGATCTGCAGCCATCTATGCAGATGGTTATTACTGTTGGCTCCATCAGCCCCAATCACATGCAGTGTGTTTGTGAAGTGCTGAATCCCAGGGCATAGAGTTTAACAGGTACTGGTTTCAAATCATCATGTGATCCCTTAGTGCCATCTTATTTTCAAGTGACTGTCCTAATATCATTTTCTCAGTTGGCATGTGTCATGGCTGCTGTCACTGAATTTACACTTAGGATTGTAAAGCCAGCCCTCTGGGAGGCCTTGAGTGCTTAGCGTCACCTAAAACAGAGATGGCAGGTCTTGAAGCTTCAAGGAGCAGTGGTGTGTGGTCCCCCAAAGCTGTCCACTGAAGGGTGGAGCCTGAGAGAAGGAGCAAGAGTGTGCACCCATCTGATCGCCTTTTTTATCAGAAGATACTCGTTATTTGGGCTTCCCCATCCTAGTTATGGATGGCTCAGACAGGAAAGCATCTGCCTGCAATGCGGGGGAACCGGGTTCAATCCCTGGGTCGGGATGACCTTCTGGAGAAGGAAATGGCAACCTACTCCAGTAGTCTTGCCTGGAAAATTCCATGGATGGAGGAGCCTGGTAGGCTACAGTCCATGGGGTCACAGAGTCAGACACGACTGAGCAACTTCACTTTCACTTTCTGTGGCTCAGAAAGTAAAGAATCTTTCTGCGTCATTCTCTTGATTAAGAAACTAGCCTGGGTTATGTCACCAAAAGTTAAAAGAGATGCATGAGCTAAGAGATAAAGTGAAGCACAAAATTTAAAGAAATAAGGATGTATGGATATGCAATAAGTGGTTCCTCTCCTGAGTTTTAGTAATCTAACCCCGTTTCAACTCATTTGTGGGGCTTTGGACCTATTCATAGTTCTCCCTGTTATTTCTCCCGGCATGTTCCCCTTTCCTATTATTTGTCTTCCCTCAATCTTCCCCAGGGTTCATTTATATAAATATCTGCTCAGTCCCTTTAAACTGGCTTGCTTTTTTCTGCTGCACAAGATTACCTGGGTCTCCTGGATATACGAGTGTTACCAACATTCTTTTGATTGTGTAAAGCCTGGGATGACCTTTGCTGGGGGCAGGTGACCTTTCTATGATGTGAGGTCCTCAAGTTGCTCAGATCCCTTTCTTTGAACTGGTCCGTTTATATACAAGTCACTTACATAAATGCTAAAAATTATTCTCAGTCTACTTTAACAAGCCATAATCTCTGCCAAGCCTCTAAAAAAGATTATCCCCACTAAAGTCTCTAAACAGCACAGTTTGAAAATAGTGACACTGGTGTGTTTTTCCTAGGCTGTCAGCTACAATAACTGCTCTCAATTTCTAACAATACTCCTCCTCATAAGATGTCTTGCTGAAATAGCCCTTGTTCATTACGCCAGTCAACGACTGTTTATTGAGCAACTGCTATGTGGCAGGGACAGGGCTGGGTGCTGGGAGGGCAGTGATGGTTAAAGACGTAGCGTCCTTCCTGTTTTCATGAGGCTATGGAACCAATTGCAGACTGGGGTTTCTCAACCTTAGCATTGGGGCCAGATAATTCCTTATTGGGGAGAGATTTCCTGTAACCTGTAGGATGCTTACAGCAACCCGATTCACTAGAAGCCTCTAGCACCTCCCCTGTTGTAACAAAAATGCCTCCACACATTACCAAATGTCCACCCAGAGCTGACTTACTGAGTTAGACCTTATTTTAAACTGATCTGTGGACATGGTGTGGGGAGGAGGGTGGGATGAGTTGGGAGGTGGGGACTGACGTATGTGCGCTGCCATGTGAGAAACACATAACTAGTGGGAAGCTGCTATGCAGCACAGGCAGCCTAGCTCAGCACTCTGTGATGACCGAGAGGGGTGGGATGGGGTGGGGAGGGCCGAAGGAGGGGATATATGTATACCATAGCTGATTCACCTCATTGTACAACATTGTAAAGCAACTATACCTATCCCAATTAAAAAATAAAAGCAAATTTCAGAACACGAGACTATTTTATCATCATAGGATTGATAAAATACATAAGATTTCTTTGTAAAGGCTTATGCCCCCCAGATGAAAGGATTTTAAGGCTGTAAATATCCTCAGTTAAATGCCAGCATGTGCAAACACAATGGTATCTCTATATCAGGCTATTGACGAATCATGACAAATAGGAACTAAGTGTCCAATGTTCTGAATATAGCATTAGGAATCTCCAGGTAATGAAAATGTATGGACGGTGGAAGACTAGAGTAGATACTGACAGGAGGAGTTTCCAGACTCAAGAAAACACTTCGCAGTTTTGAAATTGCCAAAGAAGATTCCTACCACTCAAATGTCTAGTATGCCCCAGGCTTGATCACCATCTGACCAAATATTTTAACATGTATTAGTGGATGTATTCTTATGTCTTCCAATTTCCTAATAAAACTCAAGAAGCAAATGAGATTAAAAAAAAAATTGGATCTCTTTAGGGCTTACTGTCCAAAGTATACTTCAAGAATTCTTAATCAGGCGATGAATGCTTACACTGCAGGTCATTTTTAAGAGGAATTAGACCCTTGGGGTGTTTTAAAAAGACTCTGATAAGCTGTGACCCTTTCTAGGAATTGACTCTTCATCCTGCCAGGCCTATTTCCATTGTAACTAAACAGCTCCTGCACTCATCCTAAGGTTACCCATCATTCAATCTGGGCTCCAACTCATGCTTCTGCCTTCCTCATCCCCTGGGATCCTTCTAATTTTCCCCTCCCATTGAGGCCCAACTGCAAAAAAAAAAAAAAAAAAAAAAAAGCAGCTGGAAAGAGTTGTTTTACTCTCTGAACTTCTGCTGCACTTTGCCTGTATTTCTGTGTGCTCTCACAGCTCTCTTGTTTACATTGTAGGCAACCATCTGCCCTGTTCCTTCTCCCTTCAGCACCTAGGACAGCGCCCGGCAAAGTGTCCCTTAAAAAAAAGGTGCTGTTTACTGAACTGTTATTTTAAACCTCAACTGTGAGGTCTTCAAGAGGGAGACTGCTGCCTTCTTGACTCCGGAACTGAATCCCACAGATTCTCAGATGACTCAGGCAATAGAGTTAGTCACTAGAAAAGTTGTTTTTGTGGGAAAACCATCTCTGATTTTCGTTAAATGCTTTTCAAATGCTTTGCAGGGAGTCTATTATACCTTTTCAGCATTCTACCTGGAAGAGGCTTTCTCAGTGTTTCTGATGCATACCATAAAATGGAGTTTATATTTTTAACTTTTTTCTTTTTTGCTTATTTTAAGAAATGCTTATTATGTTCTCTCAGGCAGGCTTTCCTGTGGCAAGTACATCTAAAGCCCTGACACAAAGGGCCCTTTTTCCTGCCTCACAGTTGGTCTTTATGGAAGGGAACAAAGTCCTTATGGTGAATCAGGGGTTAGACAAAGGCAGTGCCGACCCTCAAATGTGCGAAACACCTTCTTTCTGAAAGGGCACATTTAAAGCCAAACTCACTTAATTAAAACCCAATTAATTATGAATAAAGAGTTAAGGGCAGGAAAGAGAAGTTGAGCACTGCCTAAAAGATAGTGAATGCTTACAGATGCAGTTTTATTATCATTGAGTATATGCTAAGACATAAATTGGTTAAACTAATGTGAAAAAGAAAAATGAGTTAGGTCAGGGGAAAACTTATTCCACTAAGCTCTCACTGCCTAGAATTCTAAGTTATCTTAATCATTTCAAAGTTTTACTAAATTAAGAAAAACAGCAAGGATATCTCAACATACTTTCCTACATTTTTGTAAATCTGTTGTAATAGAAATGTAGTCTCCCCCAATTTTTAGAGTCCTATATACCTGAGTCTTAAATATGATGCATGGTTACAGAGTTAGAGCTAAAGTAATAAGGGTTTTAGTCTGTTATATCACATATCAAGACTCAGGTCAGTAAACTATATCAAATGCTCATGGCAACTGACCATGGGGGCCATTTGTATTGGAGGAGGAGAAGATGGATGGTGACAGTAACAAATGGACAAGCAAAGGTGCACTTTTTTTAAAAAAAGGAGACCTGACGATTAGAAGCTAGTTCCCAGGTAGTGCAGTGGTAAAGAATCCACCTGCCAATGCAGGAGACTCAGGTTCGATCCCTGGGTCGGGAAGATCCTCTGGAGGAGGAAATGGCAACCTATTCCAGTATTCTAGGGGAAAAAAATCCCATGGACAGAGGAGCCTTGAGGGCTACAGTCCATGTGGTTGCAAAGAGTGAGACATGAGTGAGTGACTGAGCGACGGACAATGAAATACTCAAGGCTTCATCCGTAGTTGATGACAAAGAGTGACTGGGAGGGTGTGGCTCAGCCCTATGCTAGCCCCCAAGTTTGTTCTCATATCGCAGCAACTTTTGCAAAGCAGCAGGAGTGGCAACCACAAGGCAGACTTTCCTTTGACCGAGGAGGAATGGAACAATCACAACAATCAGGCAGCAGGAAGGGCAGAGCGGGCAAGGCCTCAAGGGTCTTTTACTTTCTGGCACCGTCAGGCTTCCCTGCCCTCCGCTCATGAGCTTTCACACTATCGCCAGGGCTGAGGGAAGGGGGTGGTTTTACATCTTTGCCACAGCATCAGAGTAGGCATGGGGCAGGTCTGGGTCCAGCTGGAGTCTCAAGGGCAGTGCCTGGCTTGGCTCCCAAACTCTGCTGCTTGTAGAGGTGCAGGAGGCACAGAGTCCCTCTCTGGCCGACTGGTGCAGGAAGGGCACCTCCTGAGCCTGAGGACGCAGGGCTCCCAGTATCCCAGGCACCTCCCTCCAGCAGCCTCCGTGTCCTGGCCAGGACCCAGCATGCAGAGTCCTCTTACCCGCATGCTGTGGCGCTTGAAGACATTGTGCCGGTGGAGAGGTGGGGTGTGCAGCGAGTTTACGGGAGATGGATACTCCATAGGGCTGGTGAGCGTGGGTGAGCTGGCACACAGACCCTCGGGGACCTATTCAGGAGAAGCAGAGGAGCACAGGCACCGGGACAAGGCGAGAAGGTGGACGGTTAGCTGCTACGAACACGAGCACAGACAAACGATACAAGAGCTCCATGAGAGAAACGGGACTTGCGCTCCAGGAGCTTACAAAGAACAAAGTGTGGGCATTCCACTGGTAGTGTTTGGGAGACGTGGCGGAGCGACATACGGGGCTCTTGGCTAGAAGTCAGCACAGACGTGGTGGCTGTTCTTTCATCTAACAGCTCTCCCCGTGATGCTGTGCATACCGTGGGTCCACCTGTGGCACTGACCCATGACTACATCTCCTCCTTCAGCACTCTTCAGGGAAGAGTCATCATCGTGTCAGAAACTAACAGATACTGTTGATCCACAACTGTGTGTGTGTATAGGCTTCCCTGATGGCTCAGTGGTAAAGAACTTGCCTACAATGCAGAGACATGGGTTCGATCCTGGGGTTGGGAAGATCCCCTGGAGAAGGAAATGGCAACTCACTCCAGTATTCTTGCCTGGGAAATCCCAAGGACAGAGGAGCCTGGCAGGCTACAGTCCATCAGAATGCAAAAGAGCTGGACATGTCTGAGCAACTAAAACAGACAAACATATGCATGTATATACATATGTTGTTGTTGTTTAGTTACTAAGTCATGTCTAACTCTTTTGTAACCCCCATGGACTATAGCCCACCAGGCTCCTCTATCCTTGGGATTTCCCAAGCAAGAATACTGGAGTGGGTTGCCATTTCCTCCTGCAGAGATCTTCCTGATCCAGGAATCAAACACACATCTCCTGCATTGCAGGCAGATTCTTTACCACTGAGCCATCAGGGAAGTCTCTCTCTCTATATATATATACACACATACACACACACATTTTTAAAAACCACTATTTTGGGACTTCATAGGCAGTCCCATGGTTAAGACTTCACCTTCCAATGCAGGGGGTTTGGGCTCAATCCCTGGTCAGGGAGCTAAGATCCCACATGCCTCATGGCCCCAAAACCAAAACATAAAAACAGAAGCAATATTGTAACAAATTTGACAAAGACTTTTAAAATGGTTCACATAAAAAAAAAATCTTAAGGGACTTCCCTGCTGGCCCAGTGGTTGGGACTCTGAGCTCCCAATGCAGGGGGCCTGGGTTCGATCCCTGGTCAGGGTACTAGATCCCACATGCTGCAACTAAGACCTGGTGCAGCCAAATAAATGAATAAATATTAAAAAAAATCTTAAAAGAAAAAAACCCCATTATTTTAAACATCACAAAGCGGGGTATGTTTCTTTCTAGGGATATCGCTCCTGTCTTCTGCCTTGAGGTTTGTTTTCTTTTTCTTTTTTTTTTTTTGTATGAAGAGGGTTTGTCTGTTTGTTCCTGGTTAGGCTTGTTTTGGCTCTGGAGCATTTCCTTGACCACAGGACACCAAATGAAGGAGCACCAAATAAAAGACACTGTTTGCGTTTTTTAAAGAGGGACTGTGAGCTGAGGGATAGAAAGGAAGAAAAGAGAGGGGGCCCTGGCTCCTTCTGACTTAGATGCGACAGAGAGACACAGGACGGAGACATTCCGAGAGGGACCGACAGCGTGGGCAGGTCCTGTGGTTGGTAACCATGGAGGTGGGGGCGGGGAGTACAGGGAGAACCCTGCTCTCTCTCCACCAGCTACAGAGGTTCTCAGCAGGGCCCCTGCAGGGAGCCCCAGCGAGCAGCCCCATTCTCTGGGGGACGTCAACGGTCCCCAGCTGCCTGGATTCCTTTTCAGAGGCTCTGCTCAGGGTTGGGGAGGCCAGGAGTAGAGAATTAGCTGTAGGCGGGCGCACGCAGCAGCCAATACTGTGGACAGACAGATGTGGGTTGAAGTCGTCTTAACTGAGGACAACTTGGTTCAATGAGATTCTTTTGATCTCTGGGCACTTTGAGTTCGAGTTCTTTTCTGGGTACTCAAGAAGAACTGTTTCCATTGCCTGAGCAGCTAGGACTGCTGCTCTGCTGAGGCACAAGGATGGAAATTCAGGAAGGACAGAGATGAGGCCTGCACTTCCCCAGCCCTCCAGTTATGTCTTTACCTGGAACTGCAGCTTGGGTGCCAGAAGGTTGGTTTGTGGAGGGGGTCTGTACTTGGGCCGGCTGGGCTGCAGAGAGAACATGGAGATGAGTCAGTCCCTCATTCTGTCCTATTGAGGGAGCATAGCTCACCGAGGGGAATATCAGGTAGGAGTCGGGTCAGGCTTGTTCAGGATGATGAAGACGAAGGACAGAGCAATCATTAAAATCATTCATGTCTGCTGACTGTGCATCTATTGCTGCTGAGTGATACGAGGGTCCTAAGAGGCCGGTTTTCTCTGCCCTTCTGGAGGTCACTGCTAACAGGAGGCATTACCAGTCTCTGTGTAGCCTCTCTGCATGTGCCAGGCATCCTGGAGTGTGAAGCCAACTATGGCTTAGGAAGCATTACTATGAACAAAACTAGTGGAGGTGATGGAATTCCAGTTGAGTTATTTCAAATCCTAAAAGATGATGCTGTTAAAGTGCCATCAAATTTGGAAAACTCAGCAGTGTCCATAGGACTGGAAAAGACCAGTTTCTATCCCAATCCCAAAGAAGGGCTGTGTCAAAGAATGCTCAAACTATCACACAATTGCACTCATTTCACAAGCTAGCAAGGTAATGCTCAAAATCCTTCAAGCTAGGCTTCAACAGTATGTGAACCCTGGATGTGCAGTTTGCCAAATCAGTAACTGGGAGCTGCAGACATCCAGAGGTGGGTCATGGAGGCCCAGGCGTCCACAACATTCCTGGAGGTGATGAAACTTGAGCTGGGCCTGACTGCAGGAAGGTGCAGGGCACAGCAGATCAGGGGCCCAGCACCCACAGGGCTTTGTTATGAACTGAATGTTTGTCCCCCCACCCCACCCCACCCACCCCATTCATATGTTGAAGTCTTAACTCCCAGGGTGATGGTGTTTGGAGGTGGGGTCTTTGGGAGGTAATTAGGATCAGATGAGGTAACAAGACTAGGACTCCTATGATTCTTATTATTAGTCATAGCATTAATGAACTTCCCAGGTGGTGGTAAAGAACCTGCCTGCCTATACATTAGAATAAGAGATGTGGGTTCAATCCCTGGGTAGGGAAAATCCCCTAGAGGAGGCCATGGCAACCCACTCGGGTATTCTTGCCTGGAGAATCCCATGGACAGAGGATCCCTGCAGGCTACAGTCCATGGAGTGGCAAAGAGTCAGACATGACTGAAGCAACTTAGCATGCAGTCGTATTAATAAAAATAACAGACACCAAGCTCACTCTCCCCACCATGTGAGGACATGTGAGAAGGACACGTCTGCCATCCAGGAAGAGAGTCCTCACCAGACACCTTGATCTTGGACTTCCCAGCCTCCATGCTGTCTGTGTGTAAGCTGCCCAGCCTGTAGTATCTTGTATGGCAGCCCAAGCTGACTTCTACAGACATGGTCCCACCCATCTAATAGTGGGGCAGCAGGGCATTGGCTCCTGCGCCCAGAGATGCCATGGACATCAGAGACTGGACTTCAGGCTCCCCATCACGTACCTTCAAGGGAATCTAATTTGTCCCTAAAAACACCAAAAGGGTAAGTGCTGCTGTCTCCCGAGGGAAATGTTTCCAGGGTGACTGCCTGATCCAGCAGCCCCACAAGGTGCCTGCTCTCCAGCTGTCTCAGGTTCCATCTGCCAAGGTGACTGATGGGGGCTGACCTCAGGGCTGATGGATGGTTGGGTGGAAGGGCTGAGAAGACACAGGGGCCCATCTGATCGCCACTGTAAGATGAGCTGCACAGTCAGATCTGGGAGGGGCTGGACAGGGTCCCCGCTCTGCTGTGATTCATGGGGCCGATGGGGCCGATGAGTTCAGGGCTTGGCTCACCTTGGGTGGGGGTTCCTGGAAGGCTGTGGGCTCTAAGATTTTGGGAGGTCGGTAGCGAGCGTTCCTCTCCTGCTCTAAGGCGATGTCCTTCTCCATCTGGTAAATGTCACTGCCAGGAAGTCAGGTCAGATAAGGAGACAGAAACAAGGTCAGAAACACTCCTGGGGGCTCCCCTCTGTGCTCCACTGCAGCCGGGATCCTATTCCCAAGTACTCGCCCATGTCCTTCGCAGAGGGCACTGGGGAGATCCCTAGGAGACAGGCCACAGTACCGTGGACCCTGCAGCCACCCCAACCTACGCATTCCTGGCGTGTGCTAATGGGAAAGGGCCATGGATTCCCTCCCAGGTTAGCTGAATGCACGCTTCTTGCCTTTTTTTTTCTTTTACCCAACAGTGGTTCCCAACCTGGGAATCACACAGCTCCAAGGACTCGAATAAAGGCAGGGGGTCCATGAATCCACAGGTGTACCAAGCATTGTCTGCAGACAGGGATCATGTGTTGCTGAAATACATTTCTAGGCCTAAGATGGAGCTGTCCCTGCCCAGGGGGTCACATCAGCAGGTCAAAATGCAGATAACGTTTGCATCCTTCTAATTGCTATGCTTTATCAGAATCAAAATACCAACCCAACGCCAACCCAAATACCAATCCAAATGCCAATTCAGCTTTATGTACTTAGTTGGTCAGTAGTGTCCAACTCTTTGCAACCCCATGGACTGCAGCCTGCCACACGCCTCTGTCCATGCAGACTCTCCAGGCAAGAATGCTGGAGTGGGTTGCCATGTCCTTATCTTCCCAACCCAGGGATTGAACTCAGGTCTCCTGAATTACAGGCAGATTTTTTATCATCTCAGCCACCAGGGAAGCCCATTCAGCTTTACAGTTGTTTCCTATTCCCTATTCATTCTCTAATTATCTCTTCCTTGTTCCTTATTCTTTATCCTATAAAAGTGTCCTACCTTCCGCTCCCATTTGCCACTGTTCTGGCCCTTGGGAATGGAGACGGCCACTTCATGCAGTGTTAAAGTTTGTCTGCATCACTTAAGTTGCCTTGTTTAATCATTTTAAATAGTACTGTGCTCTGCTTAGTTTTCAGTCATGTCCAACTCTTTGCGACCCCATGGACTGTAGCCCCCCACTAGGTTCCTCTGTCCATGGGGATTCTCTAGGTAAGAATACTGGAGTGGGTTGCCATGCCCTCCTCCAGGGGATCTTCCCAATCCAGGAATTGAACCCAGGTCTCCTGCATTGCAGGTGGATTCTTTATCATCTGAGCCCCCAGGGAAGCTCCAAACAGTACTACTAAATATATAATATTTATATATAATATTTAGTACCTTGTTTTCAGATTTATATGCATTCTATTGTGTGCTATACAAAAATTCATGATACGGCTTGTTTATGGAGTCCTGCCTATAAACAAATGCAGTATCATTCCGAGAAATGAGTATTTCCTGCCATATCAGTAAACAAGGATGTCACAGTCATCAGCAATTGCCTCCACCACGGATAGTGAGCTGGTGAGCCCTGAGGGAACTCAGGAAGGAAAGAAAACCGGCCATCTAGGAGCCATCAAACTGCAGCCACTCCCTACGGTGAGCCCTGAGGAAACTCAGGATGTGAAAACACAGGATGCTGGCCCCAGAGAGCTGAGATGCATATCACAGGAATGATTCCAGTGAGCCCAGACTCTTGCATCTTCCCATACATAGAAAAGCACTCAATTCCTTAACTTGGGTATCTGGTTTTCTTTAATTAACAATAATTGTTTGCTGTTCAGACAACCTGCCCTTTGTTGCAAAACTTCTATATAAGCTGGCCCCCCCTTCGCCTCTTCTGAGCAGTTTCTCAGAGCTATCTGAAATGTTGTCTCCCAGGCTGCAGTCCTCATTTTGCCCGCAGTAAAACTTAACTCCCAGCTGTCACACTGTGCAAATTGTTCTCAAAGATTCCCATTGCACGGACCTGGGGTTCCCAGCTTCTCCTGTGGTGCCTTCCCATGTGGCAGTTTCTGGGGATGATTTTCTAAAAAAAATGCCCACAAGTTGCCTACAGTGTTTAAAACTGTAGTATTTCATGTTAATTAAGCATTGGGTTCCTTTAAGTAGGAGCCAGCAAACCAGGCCACAGGCCAAATATAGCCCCCTACCTACTTTTATGTGGCCCCCAATGGTAAAGAATCTCCCTGTAATGCAGGAGACCCTGGTTTGATCCCTGAGTCAGAAAGATCCACTGGAGAAGGGAATGGCTACCCACTCCAGTATTCTTGCCTGGGAAATTCCATGGACAGAAGAGTCTGGTGGGCTACAGTTCATGGGGTTGCAAAGAGCTGGACGTGACTTAGTGACTGAGCACACACAGCTATAAACCTCCATGCGCTGCTGAAGAGGAGACGTGCTCTCAGGGAGCCCTGGGCTTGCAGTCCTCCCCGCCACACACCCGTCTCCTTGCTCACCTGAGGCTGCACACAAGCTCGCTGAAGCGGGGTCGTTCACTGGGGTCGTAGTCCCAGCAGCGGGTCATGAGGGTGTAGAGAATGGGCGGGCAGAGGTCAGGCTTGGGCAGCCGGTCCCCCTTCTCCAGCACCCCAATGACATCCTTGTTCTCCAGCCAGAAGAAGGGCTGCTTTCCGAAGCTCAGGATTTCCCACATGCACACAGCTGCAGGCGGGAGGAGAAGGCTCAGGGTCTGAGCTGAGGGGACTCGAACCTGGAGAGGCAGCCCACCCTCCCCAGAGATAGCCGCGTAGTCAAGACTCAGCGTCTGCTGGGGACCACCCAGAGTTCCCCTCTCTCCTCTACAGGTAGCATCCCAGGGGTCCTGCCCACATGGTGGTCTGCTAAGGGACCAGTCGCCTATGACTGTAAGTGAACTAAGCTCCCACACCCAGGTCCTTTCCACATGGAGCTGTTAGGGTTCTGGAGGAGGGGACTCTCAAAGGAACTTCACTGGAACCACCAGGAGGGAGTGATGCCTCCATCAGAAAGCCGGCATACGAAGCCTAAAGCCAACACTTGCTGCCTGTGTGATCACGAGCAAGCCCCTGACCTGCTGAGCCTCAGTTTCCTTGTCTGGAAAATGGGAAGAAGAATAATGAGATTGTACTGGGTAGGCTGTGGAGACCTGAGACAGAGACTCTACACGGCTGTGTGCCTTTTAAGTGGCTGTCCATCACCTGGTTTTCCTCTCTCCTCACCCTGCACCTTCTTCTCAGAGAGGAGCTCAGTTCTGCTTTTGAGGCTCCCCTGCGGGGTGGCCTCACCTCAGTCCTGGGGCTGTTTGGGGGAGCTCACGCTCATATCAAGAGCCTTTTCCATGAAGATGAATGCAGGCTGGCCCTTAGCTCGTGTCACCCCCAATCCACCACTGACTCCCCACCTCTGGGACTCCTCAGTGGTGGCAGCAAAACAGAACTGAGGGTCCAGACCCCTGCCTCTTGTTCCCCCTGTTATCCTGGTCACAGAGGGGTAATCAAACCCTTGTCCACGCCCTATGGAGAGTCTGCTCACCAAACATCCAGACATCGCTGGCGGTCGTGAAGCGGCGGAAGTTGATGGACTCGGGGGACATCCACTTGATTGGTAGACGGGTCACAGAGGCTGTGGGTGGACCAAAAGTTTATGGGAGCTCTTAGAGAAGAACGATCCAGACTTATCCAGAAAGGCAGCTTACTCTCCAGAGATTGTTGGCCTAGACTTGCCTTATAGTCAGTCACCTTTTGGGGGGATTGTGGCTTCAGGGTTGCCCTCCGGAGACAAAGCTGTAACACACCCCCCACCTCACCTTTGTAATACTCCTCATCCTCAATGTATCGGGAAAGGCCGAAGTCCCCCAGCTTCACACACTCAGGGGAGGCCACCAGGATGTTCCGGACAGCGATGTCCCTGGAAGGAGGCAAAGACCAGGGTGAGGTGGTTCATAACGCTTCAGGGGGACAGACAGATGGACAGATGGAGAAGAGAGCTTCAGGGCCCCAGCCTCCGGAGGAGAATCAAGCAGCTTCTGTGGGTCAGCCCTTCCTGGCCCCACAACTCGTCTTGCTGGAACTTGGCTCAGGCAGGAGCCTTGGCTGCTCTTCCCTGCTGCTCACACGCCCTGGTTGCCTCCCTCCATCTCGCTGCTGAGCCCCATCACCCATCCCTTCTCATGCATCTCCACCTCCAAGCCTGTCTTGTGTTCCCTGTATTTGCTCCAGTCGCTGCATGTATTGTCCCCTCTGCTGGGGATGCTCTCACCCTGCTGACACTTCAGGGAGGGAGCCCGACCACTTTCCTGATCACAAGTAACCTCTCCTTGTTCTGCAACCCCACAGCTGCCCACAGCTCACTTCCAGGGGGCACCGGGAGAGCCAGGACCCCCTAAAGGCTACACGCCCCTGAGCCATGGCGCAGAGTCCTCAGGAACCCCTGGTATGGAGAGGAGAGCGGGGCAGGGAGCTGGAGGAACACAGCTGGCAGCTGGCAGGTGAGAGGCGCAGCCCAGAGCTGAGCTCTCACCCCCCTACTTCCATCCCCACCCTGGGAGCCCTCGCTGACTCAGTCATCTTGAATCTCCACATCACTTCCAACCCCAAACTGGCTATCTCTTGCTTCTCCCAGGCAGGTTCTGCACCCCACTGTTTGTCTTTGTTACTGAAAAGATGACTTCAAAGCCTGACAATAACGTCACACAAGGATGCAAATTTATTATATCACTTTGCCCCATGATTATTCTCCCTAGAAGATGCTAGAAGATGAGCTTTAAAAGGAAAAGTTTGTTTCTGTTTGTTTTGATTGTGACTTAATCCCAGAGCTTAGGACACTGCCTGGAGGCCCACAGGAAGAGTTCCATCTTGTTTGCTGCACGAGTGAGTGAATGAGTGAGTGGATGAATATTCACAAGTGAGTGGATGAATGAGGGGATGAATATTCATGAGTGAGTGAATGAGTGAATGAATGAGGGGATGAATATTCACGAGTTAGTGAATGAATGAGGGGACGAATATTCACGAGTGAGTGAATGAGTGAGTGGATGAATATTCACGTGAGTGGATGAATGAGGGGATGAATATTCACAAGTGAGTGAAAGAATGAGGGGATGAATATTCACGAGTGAGTGAATGAATAAGGGGATGAATAGTCACAAGTGAATGAATGAGTGAATGAATACTGATGAGTGAGTGAGTGAATGAATGAGTGGATGAATATTCACGAGTGAGTGAATGAATGAGTGGATGAATATTCATGAGTGACTGAATGAATGAGTGGATGAATTTTCACGAATGAGTGAATGAATGAGTGGATGAATATTCACATCCCCCAATGTCGCTGCCCACAGTGTCACCCACATGGCCCCATATCTGAGCGGGATGGCGTTGGACTGAAGAATTCACCTGTTCACCCCAGGGCTTTGAGCTGGATCATAGAAAAAGCAAGAGAGTTCCAGAAAAACATCTACTTCTTTATTGACTACACCAAAGCCTTTGACTGTGTGGATCACAACAAACTGTGGAAAATTCTTAAAGAGATGGGAATACCAGACCACCTTACCTGCCTCCTGAGAAACCTGTATACAGGTCAAGAAGCAACAGTTAGAACCCAACATGGAACGATGGACTGGTTCCAAATTGGGAAAGGAGTACGTCAAGGCTGTATATTTTCACCTGCTTATTTAAATTATATGCAGAGTACATTATGCAAAATGCTGGGCTGGATGAAGCACAAGCTGGAATCAAGATTGCAGAGAGAAATACCAATAACCTCAGTTATGCAGATGACATCACCCTTATGGCAGAAGGTGAAGAACTAAAGAGCCTCTTGATGAAAGTGAAAGAGAAGAGTGAAAGAGTTGGCTTAAAACTGAACATTCAAAAAATGAAGATCATGGCATCCGGTCCCATCACTTCATGGCAAATAGATGGGGAAACAATGGAAACAGTGACAGACTTTGTTTTCTCGGGCTACAAAATCACTGCAGGTGATGACTGCAGCCGTGAAATTAAAAGAAGCTTGCTCCTTGAAAGAAAAGCTATGACCAACCTAGACAGAATATTAAAAAGCAGAGACATTACTTTGCCAACAAAGGTCCATCTAGTCAAAGCTATGGTTTTTCCAGTAGTCATGTATAGGTCTGAGAGCTGGACCATAAAGAGAGTTGAGCACTGAAGAATTGATGCTTTTGAACTGTGGTGTTTGAGAAGACTCTTAAGAGTCCCTTGGACTGCAAGGAGATCAAATCAGTCAATCCTAAAGGAATTCAGTCCTGAACATTAATTGGAAGGACTGATGCTAAAAATGAAACTCTGATACTTTGGCCACCTGATGTGAAGAACTGACTCACTGGAAAAGACCCTGATGCTGGGAAAGATGGAAAGCAGGAGAAAAGGATGGCAGAGGATGAGATGGTTGGATGGCATTACTGACTCAATGGACATGAGTTTGAGCAAGCTCCAGGAGATGGTGATGGACAGGGAAGCCTGGTGTGCTACAGTCTATGGGGTCACAAAGAGTTGGACACAGCTGAGCAACTGAACTGAACTGAACTCTGTCTCCTCCAGAGGATCATATCCCCCATGATGGGGACCTCCCTTCAGGGAAGGGGACAAAGCCGGTGGAGAAGGGACCAGCACCACAGTCAGACAGAGGACTGGACTTGGCAGTTTGGAGGTGTCAGGGCCCAGGGCAGTGCCACTCATTTGGGCTGGAAGGCCTGGGACCCCAGGATTGTCCTAGTGCTGCCAGAACCCAGTCTCTCCTGCTAGGCTGGGTGCCACCAAATGGAAATGCCAGAGAACAAGTGAGCAGCGAGCAGGGAAGTGATTTCCTGCACCCACAGGGATGCGGGCTACTGAGTTACAGGCAGACACCCCCGATTTCAGATTGCCTTTTCCTAGCAATCCTGGGAGGGACCTCTGGCTGTTGTACTTTTAGAGGAGGACATGGGTCCCAAGAAGGTGCTCAAGCTCACCTAAGTGGGACCAAAGCCAGGCCTTCAATCCTGGTCTGTGCGTGACCCCACCTTCTCCAGGCCCCTCCCCAGCCCCACCTGTGGACACAGTTGATGCTCTCCAGGTAAGCCATGGCCTTGCAGATCTGCAGCGAGTACAGGACAAGAGTGAGCACCTTCAGGATGTTCTTGTTTCGCTCCAGGTAGTGGCCCAGCTGCAGGAAAGGGAAGGTGCCCTGAGGATTCTGCCTGGCCTGGGCGTGGAGCTGGGGGTGGGGGAGGCCACACCCAGAATGGCAGCAGAAACTGGCAACCTCCTCTCCAAACAGCCTTGGGGCTGTTTCAGCCAGGACTTAAGGGCCCCTGGCTCTGAATGCATCCTCCCTGGCCACCCCCTCCCCAGGTGTTGCTCCACTGCAGTTCAGCTATCATCACAGGGGTACCTTGGCCCTCCAGCTCACCTCCCCATAGGGGTACAGTTCCATGATGATCCAGGTGGGCTCCTCTTCGATGATGCCGATCAGCTTCACGATGTGTGGGTGGTCCAGGTTCTTCATGATCACTGCAAGTGGGAGTGAGAGGGTTAGGGTTAACAGTTAGGTTTAGGGTTAGGGGTTGGGATTAGGTTTAGGGGTTAGGGTTAGTGTTTAGGGTTATGGTTAGGGATTAGGGTTAGGGTTTGGGCTAGTGTTTGGGTTTAGGGTTAGGGTAGGGTTAGCTGTTAGGGTTCTGGTTAGTTGTTATGGTTAGTGGTTAAGTGTTAGGGTTAGGGTGAAGGGTTTGGTTTAGGGGCTAGGGACTAGGGGTTAGGGGTTAAGGGTAGGTGCTCCAGTGCCTCCAAGGTCCAAAGCAAGAATCAAACTCTGCTGGCTGGACCCAAAGTCAGGGGTGCAACCTGTTCCCCCTTGGATGTCAGCTCTGTCCCCGGTCTCCCCGACCTCCACTGCAGATGCTTTGACCCCTTTCTGCCTCCCAGTCTGCATAGTCCCCAGGCTTTTCTCCAGCCCCCGTGCTGGTGTCTTCACAGGGACACCTACCTGCCTCACTCATGAACTTCTCCTTGTTATCCAGAGTGCAGTCTTTCTTACAGGTCTTCACAGCCACATTGATCACCTCCCCTTTCTGCAACGACAGTGTGTCCAGGACCCTCAGTCCTGCCCAGAGCTCCCCACCCCGGCGTCCTCAGGAGACAGGTGACGTCTGGGGCTCTGCAAAGCCTGCACTTCCTATCTCTTCCCCTCCTCTGCTCCATAACCCCTTCCTCCTGATCAGGGTACATTTGGACTGGAGGAACGTTGAAGATCAGATCCCTTGAGGCGCTGGCTGTCCAGGTGAGGACATGGAAGCTGGGGGTCCACGTGACCTGCCCAAAGTTAGTGGGTGTGTGCAGGTCGCATGCAAGGCCATCACTGGACATGGTGTCCAGGTCTTTTTCTCTTTATTGTTGGTTTTTAGAATTTTGCCTTTTCCCCAGGCCTGGTTGAAGAGCAAACACAAAGGCAGACTTGTCCAGCCCCATTGGCGGCCTTGGAGCCCACCTTCCCTTTCTCACAATGGCTTCACACGGAGTTTCCCCCTTCACGTTCTCCCATAAGTGGCAGTGCCCGCCGCTGGGCCCCGTCCCATGCCCCACGGCTGTTGCCTCTCTTCCGATCCCTGCTATTGCTGCCTTCCTGGGAAATGACTTTTGTTTTCATCACTCCCTGTGTATTTCATAAACGCTGCAAAGGCCAAATGTGTGAAGCTCCATGCACCACGGCACACCCTCCCCCAGCACTAGAGTATTTGAGCTCCTTTCTCTGTCTACCGAAGAGCAGAACTTGGGTATCACAAACTCACGTGATTTGTGTAGACGCCTTCATAGACTTCCCCAAAAAAGCCTTCACCGAGAATACAATTCAGGACCACGTCTTCCCGGGTGATGCCATACTGTGGGCCTGCACAGATGATAAAGCAGACAGTCCTGGGGCACATAAACTGGTTGGCACCCCCTGGGAATTCAAGAATCTACATCCCTGGGGATGCTGAGGGCCCACATCCCTGGGATTCTGAGTATCCAGAGGCTCTAACACCGGGCTCCGCCCCCTCCAGCCCAGGTGTGACCAGACCTCCCCCACCAACACCTCAGTCAGGAAGCAGGGGCTAGGCTGGGAAAGGGGCTCTAGAAGGTTCCATTGTCTCAGACTTGGGAAAGCTGAGCCCCATGTCCACGCGCTTAGCACACCCCTCCACCACAGACACACCAAAGGTCAATGGTGACGGGATAAAAACCATGATCTCTGCTTTCAAGTCACAAGTGCCTCACTCAGCTGTGTCCCTGGCTGAGACACACGTGGAAGACGACACAGGAAAGAAAGTCCCCCTGTGATGTCATACGTGTCCCCAGATGTCACTTCCCACGGCCCTGGCGGTGGTTGACATGGGGTGGGGGGCGGTCAGGGATCTACCTCCTGATCTTCGCAGGGTCTCGTCGGGGATCTCAGCATAGATGTCTGATTCTGAAATGACAGGAGGACACCCCATGGGCAAGATGCCTTGGGGGGGCACCACCAGGAACCAACTGTGAGACCCCCTCCTGCCCCGCCCACCACAGGTCAGTGAAACTAAGCTGACATCACTGGGAGGGGCATGGGGAGGAGCCGGGGGAGAACGGGTTTCCATCCCAGGTATCTGGGTGGCCACAGGGCCCAGGGTCCTCGGCCTGAATCCCTCCTTGCTGCTGCCTGGCTATTATTTAGGGCAAGTTGGTTCATCTCCTTTAATCTGCTTTCCTTTCTGTGAAATGACTATTTCTGGGGAATGTAAATATTAAAACAATACCTATTATGTATCTAACACTGTCATGAACTGAATGCTTGTGTCCCCTCAAATGCATGTTGAAACCCTGACCCCAGGAGTGGTGGTGGTGTTTGAAGGGGTCTTTGGGAGGTGATTAGGGTTAGATGAGGTCATGAGGGTGGGGCCCCCACGGTGGGATGAGTGTCCTTAGAAGAAGAGAGACCAGAACTCTCCATCTGTCCAGCACATGAGGACACAGAGAAGGTGGCCGTCTGCAAGCCGGGAAGAGAGCCCTCACCAGGGTCCCACCACACTGGAACCCTGATCTTGGACTTTCACCTCCAGAGCTGTCAGAAATCAATGTCTGTTGTTTAAGCCCCCCAGTGTGTGGCTTTTTATGAAGCCTGAGCTGACCAAGACAAACATGGTGCCCGTACTAGCTGCCTAATACATGTTCGCGCTCACACTCAGTTTAGCAGTTGTGTCCAACTCTTTTCAACCCCACGGACTGTAGCCCGCCAGGCTCCTCTGCCCATGGGATTCTCCAGGCAAGAATATTGGAGTGGGTTGCAGTTTCCTTCTCCAGCGATCTTCCTGACCCAGAGATCGAACCTATGTCTCTTGTGTCTCTTGCATCGGCAGGTCAGTTCTTTACCACTGAGACCCAAGGGAAGCCTCGCCCAATACATGTTAGCTATTATGATATTTCTGGCTGTCACTGAGCAGTCATAGAGGAAGTTCATTTTTCTGTAACTTTGAGGGAGTCCTTCGGGATGCCACAAGAGCAGGCAGAAGGGAGGCTCTGGGTGTGGGCAGAGGACAGCAGGTGGGCAGGCTTACCTATGCTGCAGCTTTCTGAAAGGTGGGGCCGCCGAGCTTCCAGGTTTCTACAGGAGGAGAGGACAGAGCAGGAGCCCAGTGAACTCAGAACCTGGCAGTGCCCACCCAGGGCAGCCTCATTCCCCTCCTCTCCCTCCCACCCGGCCTGGAGAAGCAGCCTGTTCTGATGGCGCTAAGCTAGGAGCATGGCCCAGGCCACCAGGAGACAGGAGGGAGGTTTGCTTGCTAAGTCGTTTCAGTCGTGTCCGATTCTGCGACCCTATGGACTGTAGCCTGCCAGGCTCCTCTGTCCATGGGATTCTCCAGGCAAGAGTACTGGAGTGGGTTGCCATGCCCTCCTCCAGGGGATCTTCCCCACCCAGGGATTGAACCCATTCTCTTAACACTGGCAGGCAGGTTCTTTACCACTAGCGCCACCTAAGGGGACAGCAGCAATCCCCCCCACCTCCCCCACCCAAGATGGTGCCAGGAGGCTTTAGGGCACAGGAATAATCTCGCACGAATTTACTGGGAGAAATTTACTGGTGAAAAATAACCACTTGTGAAATGCTGGAATTCCAGCATTTTCTCCTGGGGGCCAGAAACTGGAAACCGTGGCGGGGGAGGCCCCCCTTCGTAAGGAAGACCCCGGCTGAGGGCGGGGCCGGTTCTCCGCCTCGCGGTTGGTTGTACTCACAGCGTGGGGATCTGGGGCAGACTGTTCCGCTTCTCAGCGTCTGGGGAGAGGAGAGGAAGGAGGGGAGCTGGAACCAGGGCCACAGGGTCCCGGATGGATGACGGACCTCATTGCTTCTACCAGCCGACACACGGGAGACCCCTCCCGCCACGCTATGGCCCCTGAGAGTCGGGGTGGAAGCTGGATAGGCAGTTGCCCTGAACTGGAATCCTTTTAGCAGAAGAAACTCTCAGACTTCCTCTGCCACTGTCACACGTCCCAGCCTGACCCTTGCTTTCTGATTCCATCCCCACACAGGACGGACCAGCCATGTCCTGGGAACAGCTTTGATTTTCCCAGGGCGACAAACATCTCTCCATCAGAAGTTGCCCCCCGCACCCCGTGCCACCCTCGGTCGGCGGGGCCAGGGCTGTAGCCCAGGATCTGGGATGGGGTCACAGGGAGTGTCCGGCAGGGCTGGGTGAGCTCCTCCCCACACTCCCAAAGGCTCTTCATTCACATATCCGCCAGTGGTTTAGCTTCTCCTGCTCCTCCCCGGAGGCTTGGCTCGGGTATGCCACCCACTGCCTCTTGGGCCAGGTTACCTTCAAGTGGAAACACACCTTTCTTGGCTCGAATGATGAGAGAGCCCTTGTGCTCTCCTTGCAGCCGGCAGTAGCCATCTACGAGGTCAGCCATGTTCTCGGCCTCTGCCAGAGAGGAGGTTTTGATGGACAAGGACTGCAGGGAAGAGACCAGCCAAGGATGAGACCCCAGAGCCTTGGCTAGAGTCAACCCCGCGGGACTGCAGGACCCCTAACCATGGCCTGCCCGGACTCCACCAGCAATTCTGGGGCTCGGCTTGCATTCCCCACTGCCACCAGGGGGCGCTCTCGTCACCCTGCCCAACTGACCCTACACTCCAGGAAGGGAATTCCTTTTTCTAGCCACTGAGTATATAGCACATGCCTTGTATGCTTGAGCAGAAATGGAGAGAAGGGAAGAGGGAGGGAGTGGCGCAGAGCACGCGTGGATGAAAGGACAGGCATACGACCTGTTTGTGGTCTGAGGTCTTTCTCATTCTCCCACCTACAACAAGCCCTGGGTTCCCAAGGCGTTGGTTCGGAGTCGCTGTTACTTGTTCACAGTTAGACCTCTGATCTGGACCTTGATTTCTGGTCACTTTACTCCAGCCCTCCTCCAAACTTCCTACAACGTCTTTCTTGACCTTCTAAACAACAGTTTTGCTTCCTGATGTACTTTTCCTTAGTTTGACATCATCCTGCTACCTGGTCTAAGAACTAGATGCCCTTTACTTAACAAGATCCCAGCAGCCAGGGAAGCCCTAGCCAGGCTGGCCTGAGCAGGCATGCCCAATGTTCTCAGAGATGCTCACCTGGGGAGCGCCTTCGATGCCCAGCTGCAGTACCGCCTGGCCCTCCTCCAGAGGGAGGCACCTGATGGACTTGATCTGCTTGAACTCGGCCAGGCAGGTGGGCTGTGGGAAAGGAGGGGTTCCTTCAGACCATCCCATTCCTGGGATTGGGCTAGGAGGATTGATCAGTATGGGGTGGAGGTGGGTGGGGAGCGAGGAAGAACCAGGCATTGGAGTCTCTCGGCAGGGATGAAGAGGGAATCAAAGACCATTCAGGTTAGAAGGATCACCTAGCCCAAGCCCCTTGCCAAAGAAAAAATGAGCCTGGAAAGAGTCAGGGTTTGCCCACACTCATGCCAAGCTGGTGGTAGGGCCAGGGCTGGACCTGGTTCTTCTGACTCCCAGGGACATGATAGCCCCATATGCCATTGAAAAAGCAACTACTATTGTCAGAAGAGCAACAGTCGTATCCTTCCCTCTTCCCCTCCCCCACCTTAACCACACTTGTCCCCAGCCTCTCTGTGCCAGGGACAGTCCCAGGGATGTAGAGACCCACACTCCCCATGCCGTTATCCCAAATAGCCTCCCCACAGCTGCTGATACCAAGAGCCTCTCTGCTGTCAGCAATGGGGCGAAAGAACCGATGGGACAGGCCAGGATGGGAGGCAGCCAAAAGGGGAAGCACGCTCTGCCTGGAGCTGGGTGGGGCCTGCCCCCTCCGTACCCCATCGCTCTGTACCTTTGCATCTTGACTTGTCAGCTGGCGGATGCCCTTAGGGCCGATGACCAGGTCCACAGTGATGTTCCATCCTTGCTGGAATCAAAGGAGACACAGGCTGTTGCCTCTGCTCTGCCCGCCCGTATTTCAGAGGCTTGAAAACAGCTCACTAGCTAGACACAAGCCATGTATCCTGGGCCCTCCAGCTCCTTCCATCCTAACCTCCCACCATACAGATCACCCTGCTCCCAACACTCTGCCAGCACTGCCCACCTCCTCCCAGAGTTGGAGCCAAGGTTTCAGCTCCCTTCCGCAAGCAAGTGGCTTAGCATTAGTTGCATTTTCAGATACACTGGGGGAGGTCCTGGTGCTACAGAACCTGTTACAAGCAGCAGGTTGGAGGCTTGTCTTGACCCCCACTCCCACCCTGAGTTGCCCTCGTGGCCTGCTCTCCTGAGAGGCTTGGGATTTGGGTCAGGGGGAGAATGAAGAGAGAGCTGCGTTACAATGAGTTCACAGCGATAGGTCTCCTGGTCAATGTTGGCGAAGCCTGCGAGGGTGTTGAAGAACTTCATGACGCACTCCTCCTCCCGGAGCGAGGCGTACTGCTGGAACGTCTGCTGGATCATCTTCCGGAACTGCTTGGGCTGGGCGAGAGGGTCAGGGGTGAGTGGGGCCCGATTCCTTCCCTTAGGATCTCACCGCAGGCCTGCGCGCTGCTGTAGGACAGTCCTTAGGCCTCTGTAGACCATGAGGGCAGTGGTGATCTCTTACACCTGTGGTCTCAAGGGAGCTCACCATGGCCCTGGGAGGGAGGCAGGGGTGGTAGCATCCCCGATGTTCAGGTCATAGAGCTAACTGGCCTCTGATGTGGAACTAGAGCAGGGTTTCTTGATTCCCGGACACAGACGGGCCCACGGGATGCATGGAGCAGTCCCAGGTCCAGATGGCCTAAGGAAGCGCAGACACCCTGGCTTCCCCAAGGGTCCCCAGCTCCATCCCTTACAGATCTAATCCTTGGGGGACATAAGGGAGACACGAAGGGAGTCTTTCTGGGCTTTTCATCCACTGGTTTCCTCACCTTTAAGTTCTCCTGCATTTGCTTTGGGAAAAACAGGTCCAGGCCCACTTCTTTCCTGAAAGTAAGGGGGGGAAAAGCAGCATTTGAGTCCCCTTTGGTGGCTCAAATGGTAAGGAACTGCCTGCGTTGCGGGAGACCCAGTTTCGATCCCGAGGTCAGGAAGATCCCCTGGAAAAGGGAATGGTAACCCACTCCAGTATTCTTGCCTGGAGAATTCCATGGACAGAGGAGCCCGGTGGGCTACCGTCCATGGGGTTGCAAAGAACTGGAGAAGGCTGAGTGACTAATACTTTCTGTATCCCCAGCTCAGGACTTCGGGCCGATCAGGGAAAGGTGAGCACAGCAGGGAGGTGGCCCTTGCCTGGCTCTGGTCTGGGGGGGTTGTGTGGGAGGGGAGCAAAAGGAGCAGGAGGAGGAGGGGAGGAGAGGCTGCAGCCAGTCCCAGAACTTACTCCAGGAGCTCGAAGTTGGACTTTTTGTCAAGTGCGTTGTGGGGCATGTCCTTGAAGAACCGCCTGCAGAGAGAGAAGCCACGGGGAACGGGGCCATCAGAGCTGGGCCACCCAACGCCCACATGTTGGCCCAGAAGCACCCTCCCCTGCCGGATGTGGGAACCACTGGGAGGGAGAAGGAAGGAGAGGCGAAACATTCAGTATTTAGAAAACTATGAATTTTAGAAAACCCACAAATTTCCTTCCTAGGAAAGACTCCAGCTGTACTCCGGGATGTCCACCTCTGGCTTATGCAGTTGGTGGGCAGAGGAGGAGGACAAGGGTTCTACCAGTGGTCTCTAAAAATAAATGACCCAAGGCAGCCAACACTCGACCTATAGCTGAGGAACACCGATACCCACCTTTGAGGTTCTGTGTTCCCTTTGTGACTTTCTTTCCCCTCATTTGCTACCTCTGAAAATCTACGTGTATGCATGCAAATAATTATAAAATATAGTACATAGAAACACTTTAGCATTTATGGGGCAGAAGAAGAAAATAAAACAAATCCATAATACTACCACCTGGGGTGACATCTATTAAATTTTTTTTTTAATCTTAATGTCACAGATTTTTCTCTATGTGACTTTATTTTTTTTTCCATTTATTTTTATCAGTTGGAGGCTAACTACTTTACAACATTGTAGTGGTTTTTGCCATACATTGACATAAATCAGCCATGGATTTACATGTGCTATTAAATTTTTATACATATTCTTTAAGTATGATTTTCCCTTAAAATGTATGTCTTCATGGAGATTTTAGTGTATTACTTATTTATAATAATTGTTTATGTGGAGACAATACTATTTGTCTTATCTTCCCTTCCCTGTTTGGATCATGTGTCTAGTAATTTCTTCAACTGTTGCAGACATTGCCCCACTCCTGATCATACATTAGTAACTCAGTGTTGCTCTAACCCAGGTGTCCTTGCGCACATCTGGGAATAGTTTTATGCTGCTGATACCATAAGCAGAGAAGGGCAAATAACTTAGGATTCATAAGCAATAAATTTACAAAATTCACAGTGTTTAGGAAAAAGTATGGTTAGACCTTCATCTCACACTTTATTCTAAATATTTATTCTAGATAGATTAAAGGGAAAATGTTAATAATGAAGTTATTTTAAAAACTAGAAGAAAAGCTAGGGAAATATTCTCAAATCATGGAACTGAGAAGAATATCTAAAGCATGAAGTCATAGAAGAGATCTACAATAAAAACTTAAAACATGTAGTGCTATGTCCTTAACAATTTTTAATAAACAGTATTTTTGAACATATTGTCAATATAGATAAGTAGTAATAATTATGGTCTCAGTTTTAGAGGAAAAAAATGCATTGGAAAAAATCTGACTTGGCGCTACTCTGCTAATGGAGGTTATCTCTGGTTAATGGAATTTCAAATGATTTTAGTCATTTCTTCTCCTTCCCTACATGTTCCAAATACTCCACATTGTACAAGGCAGTGTGGCCATCCACAACACCCCCCTGGGCTGGGTGAGCTGCAAAAAAATGTACTTCCAGGTAACTGACCATATTGGCATGCTGCATGCAGTTAAGTAACTCTACAAAATAAATGTCAGTGCGTGTCTACCAGCAAAGAGGTCTTTAGATCTTTCACAGTTACCCAATCATTCAAATTCATACTGTGCCCTCACTGTGTGCCAGGAGAAGGCGGCACCAACCCTGAGTTCAAGGATTTGATGGATTTCAGACGAGGGCACGTGAACCACTCGGCATCTGACAGAGTGGTGCATACACACGGCCTTGTGGCCAATCCATGCAGGGAAGGGTAGGTGGGGTGGGCCTGGGGAATGGGAGGCTTTGAGACGGAGAGACCCTTGAGTGGGCACTGAAGGAAGAGCCGAGGGCCACACTGCCTGTTATCAAGGTGTGCATCACAGGCGTGCTCGGAGGTTTTCTATGAATGTTGAGGGACAGCGAACAACCTTGGGGGCTTCCTTGGGGGCTCAGTGGTAAAGAATTTGTCTGCAATGCAGGAGATGCAGGGTTAGTCCCTGGGTTGGGAAGATCTCCTGGAGGAGGAAATGGCAACCCACTCCAGTATTCTTGCCTGGAGAATCCTATGGACATTGGAGCCTGGTGGGCTACAGTCTGTGGGGTCGCAGAGTCAGACACGACTGAGTGTCTGAGCTGGATGATTTACTAACTCTGTACACATCTATTGGCATCTACTGGAGCTGGGGATACAGCAGTGAGACCACAGATGGAATCCCAGCATTCGAGTATCTCCCAGAAGCTTGCCTGCTGTTCAGAGGAACGTTTACTGGATCACCTGGATGGCAGGTAGATGGAAGAAGCCGGAGCCTGGAGGCAAGAGCAGTGGCAGCGAAAGGCAGACAGGGGACACTGACCAGAGAGAGGGCTGGCCCCTCTCTTCCCAGGGCCAGACAGTGAGCACCTCGGGGCCTTACCGTCTGTCCGCCACCACTTGTCCCCTTCCGGCTCTCGCATTCCCGCCCTGGAGGAGAGTCCAAGCTGGCCGAGAGCCCAGTGGAGGAGGGAAGGAGCAGGCACTCTCCCTGGAGTGGCCTGGAGGCCACCTACCTGAGCTCCAGACAGCCCAGCTGCAGGGCCATCCCTTCGCTGACCTTGCTGGCATAGCGCTGCATGTAGTCGTTTCGGAGCTGGCAGGGAGAAAGGCCATGGTTCAGACTCCCGCCCTCGCTCCCCATTTCCCTGAGATGAACAGAGGCCCCAGGAGGTGGAGGGGGCTTTGAACACCATCCTGCTGCCCTGAGTGGTCTCTCATCCCTCCCCTGACAAATGCACAACCGCATAGCAGGACAGGGAGGTGCCCTGGGTAGTGTTGACTAGCGTGCTCCCACAGGCGCGATTTGGCAGCACTTTCATAGCACTTTTTTTTCAAGGGTCCACAAGGCAGGAAGTTTAGGTTCCCCTCTCCCACCCCTCACTTTGGAGATAAAGAAACTGGGAATGGGGGGAGGAGGTAGTCATTTATTCTGGCTTCCCGAAGGCTCAGCAGTAAAGAATCCTGCAGTGAAGCAGACACAGATGAGGGTTTGACCCCTGGGTTGGGAAGATCCCCTGGAGGAGGGCATGGCAACCCACTCCAGTATTCTAGCCTGGAGAGATGAGAGGAGCCTGGCGGACTACAGTCCTTGGGTTTGCAAAGAGGTGGACACGACTGAGCGACAGCATACATGCACGCGATAATTTACCCAAAGCCTTGTTGGTAAGTAGTGACGGATGTCACTCAAGATACAAGAAAAGTCTGGCTTGGCCACTAGAGGACCAGGAGGGAGATGGAGCCTGGGGCAAAGGCCAGACAGAAAACAGCCACGGCGGCTCTTGTGCATGCGGTGCTTATTCCCCGCCATGTCTGTGCTGGGCACCTCAGGGGTACTGCAGCCAGGAGTGTGGTGAGCTCCAAACAGCTCACGGAAGTCAGCTATTAAGTTTTCCAAAATTTTGTGAGCTGCTTAATATATTAGTCTTTTGAAATGAGGCCAAGATGGGAGAATTTGATTTCGTTTAGTTGCTAAGTTGTGTTTGACTCTTGTGACTCCACAGACTGTAGCCCATCAGGTTCCCCTGTCCATGGTATTTCCCAGGTAAGAATACTGGAGTAGATTGCCATTTCCTTTTACAGGGGATCTTCTGGACCCTGGGATCAGACCCAGGTCTCCTGCATTGCAGGTGGATTCGTTACCGCCTGAGCTACCAGGGGTTATTTACAAACACGGAGATTGGCAAGCACTACAAATCAGAGAGTTGGTTTACCAGTACACTGCTAGTACTATCGTTAGGTCTTCACAGCAGCCCAGTAATGTACGTATTCTTCTTATCACCCCCTTTTTATAGAAGAGGAAACAAGCTCATGCAGGTAAATTAGGTCCCCAGGGGTTTCAGGCTGGAACGTGGCAAAACTGGGCTAGAAACCAGGTGTGTCAGACAGCCGCGCCTGTGTGCTATGATTGCTTCCCTTCTCTTTGGACTTGCTCTGCCTGCTTCCCCAGCCAGGTCTTCTGGGCAGTAGATAGCCACCAGGAAAATCCAAGAGGCCCTGTGCCTATGGGGAGGGGTCATTCTGCCCTCAGGTGTGAGGGAAGCAGGTTTGGATAGCTGACCAAGGACCAAGGAATGTCCCCGAGAGAAGTTTCCTGGAATGGGACCTTCAAAATGCAAGCCTTGTCTTTCCATCTCCCCAGGAGAGGATGGTCATAGGACCCAGGGGACAGGAAGATAAAATACTTCTACCTGTTGGTAAAAATAAAGCAGCGTGGTCCTGTCTTCTTTCAGGCTCTCCATGAAGTCTTCTGGCAGGTAGCGGATTTGAAGGTCATACCTGGGACAAGAAGTTCAATCTCTCTGGTTGACAGAGGGAAGCTGGTCCTACCAGGGGCTGCCTACTCCTCGTTTTCCCCCTCCCCCATTTCAGAACCTGCGGCTCCTCTCTTACCTCCACTCGGCTTCCACATGCAGACACTCATACTTGTCCTGCACCTCCCCCACCGTCATCAGCGGGTGCAGCCAGTGGATCTCGTCTGACTTCATGTGCTTCAGCCTCAGCCCATAGCAGTCAGCCAGCTGGATGTTGGGCCCGATCCGCCCGCTCAGCAGGATGGAGGCGATGACATCCTACAGAGGAGAAGAGAGAGGGCTTGACTCAGGGGTATGCCCTTCTGGGCTCCCACAGTCCTCACAGAGCCCCGGAGGTGTGATTCGCTAGGGTGGGATTCTGACTTAAACGCTTTATTCGTCTCTGATTCACCATCACTTAGTGTAAGGCTTGGTACACAGGAAGCTCTGTGTGATGAACGAACAAGTTTGCAAAATCAGACAGGGAAGGAGGAACTGAGAGGAGAAGCAAAGGAGAAAATGCAGTGAGCAAAGAGCATGGATTCCACGCTTATGCATTTCATTCCAACCCAACCAAGCCATAACTACCGAGCACTGACCATGTAAGAAGCACCCTCTGAATGGCTTCCAATTTAGCCAGCATTACCAAGCCTCTGCACCTGGCATTTCTGGGAACTGTGCATACATTATTTCACCGAATCTGTGCAACACAAGGAGGGGGGTGTTACACCCCCATTTGGCTGATGGGGAAACTTATGGAGATCACAGGGGCTTCCGTGATAGCTCAGTTGGTAAAGAATCCATCTGCAATGCAGGAGACCCAGGTTCAATGCCTGGGTGGGGAAGATCCCCTGGAGAAGGGATAGGCTACCCAGTCCAGTATTCTTGGGCTTTCCTTGTAGCTCAGCTGGTAAAGAATCCGCCTGCAATGCAGGAGAGCTGGGTTCAATCCCTGGGTTGGGAAGATCCCCCAGAGAAAGGAAAGGCTACCCACTCCAGTATTCTGGCCTGGAGAATTCCATGTACTATATAGTCCACGGGGTTGCAAAGAGTCAGACACAACTGGGAGACTTTTACTTCACTTCACTTTAATGGAGATCACACAGCTCATGGCATTAAGCTGGAATATGGACTCTGAACCCTGGACTCTGAGGACTAGTACTAGATCAAGTTGCTTCATGGAAAGGTAGGCTGAGTAAGATAGAAGGGAAGGACTTATATTAGGGATTAAGTGGCACCATTTCTGCACAAGAAGCATGGCCACCAGAAACAGAGTATTGACAAAATTTAGGTGCCCTCTGTATTCCTGCTTTCTTGATCAGAAGCCAGCCCACCCCACAGCCTGATGCCATAGCTTCCTGGCCTGGAGCCTGAGTTGGATTAAGAGGCCCATTGACAGCAGCCTGGAAAACCACCATCTATAAAGTCCTGTCTAGTTCTGAAATCACATTGGTTCCACTTTAATTCAGGTTTCTCATGGAGTTCCACACATAATTGGTTAATCAAGCCCACTCCTGATGGAGTAAAAAGTACTCTAAAGGCAAATGAAAAAACTCACAAGCACTAATCAATCTCTGTTGAGTATCTTTGTAGTACATGCCACCCAGTCTGAGACCCCTGTGAATATTGAAAACTTCAAATATATATGAAGAAGACAGAAGTCAGTAGATTAGTATAATAAATCCCCATGTATACCCCACCCATCTTCAACAGTTACTAACATTTTGCCATTTTTACTTCTTCTATACCAACACCATCTACTACTTAACCACCACTCAACTATCGTCAATTTTTACAGTTCTTCTTTCACAGTGAAATTCATATTAATTTAAAGACACAAAGTTTAGCTACATAGTTTGACACATGAACACACCTGTGCAACCCACATACCAATTAAGATATTTCCAGATCTCCAGAAAGTTCCCTCATATCCCTTTTCAGTCAACTTTCATGGCACATTCCTACTTCCGGTTCTAGGCAACAATTTTTTCCTCCCGCTTTTACTTAGTTTTGCCTGTTGTTGAACTTCATATAATTGGAATCATTTCGTATATATTATTCATCCTCCTGTTGCTAATACCTGGGTTATTTCTCATTTTTGGCTATTGTAAATAAAATTACTATGAGCATTAATGTATAAGTCTTTTTGAGTATGTGTGTTGTCATTTCCTCTGGACAAATACCTAGGAGAGAAATGACTGGGTCAAAGGTAGATGAACTTTATAAGTGATCGCCATGATGATTCCATTATATATATATATTATGACATATGAGATGTCTATCACACTACATCCTCTCCAACTTTTGGTGTTATAAATGTTTTTAACATTAGACATTTTAGTGAGTATGCATAGTATCCCATTGTGCTTTTAATTTGCATTTCCCTGAAGACTAACAATATTGAGTACTCTTCCATCTGCTTATAACCATTGATATATCTTCCTTTGTGAGGTACTCATTCAAATTCGTTGTCCATTATGTGTGTATGTTTACTGATTGTAGGAGGTCCTTATACAATCTAGATAAAAGTACTTTGCATATGTCTTATGAATATTTTCTCTAGATCTGTACTGTGAAAGAAATTGAAAGTGAAAATCACTCACTCATGTCTGACTCTGCGACCCCTTGAACTGTAGCCTGCCAGGCTCCTATGTCCATGAAGTTCTCTAGCTCAGAATACTGGAGTAGGTAGCCATTCCCTTCTCCAGGGGATCCTCCCAACCCAGGGATCAAACCCAGGACTCCCACATTGCAGGTGGATTCTTTACCAGCTGAGCCACCAGGGAAGCCCAGGAACATTGGAGTGGGTAGCTTATCCCTTCCCCAGGGGATCTTCCAGACCCAGGAATCAAACCAGGGTCTCCTGCATTGCAGGTGGATTCTTTATCAGCGGCGCCACCAGGGAAGCCCAGATCTGTACTGTGCCTAGTATTTATTTCCTTAACAGCATCTTTCAATAAAGTCTCATTTACCCAAATATTCTTTTATGGTCAGTGCTTTTTGCATCTTAAGAAATCTTTGCCTGTCTCCAAATCATGAATATATTCTCCTGTTTTCTTGTATAAACTTCATAGCTTTAGGACTTCCCTGGTGGTCCAGAGGCCAATGCAGGGGTCATGGGGTCGATCCCTGGTCTGGAAAGATTCCATGTGCAAGGGGACACTAAACCTGTGTGCCACAACTATTGGAGTCCTCATTCCCTAGAGCCCATGCACAATGAGAGAAAACTGCAGACTGCAGCTGGAGAGGAACCCCTGCTCTCCAAAACCAGGAAAAGGCCGCACGCAGCAACAAAGACTTGATGCAGCCAAAAATTAATTGATTTTAAAAAGGTTATAAAACAAAAACATCATGGTTTTAGCTTTTACCTTTGTCTCTGTGATTGAGCTTGAGTTAACCTTTGTGTCTGGCGTGAAGCAGGGGTCAAATAAATTTTTTTTATCATAAAGATCTATGGTTATTCAGCATTGGCTGTTGATTTTCATTTCCTAATCGAATTGTTTTGCTGTCTTTGTCAAAATCAACTGGCCATATAAATTCTGGGCTCTCAGTTCTGTTCTATTGATTTCTGCCTGCACTATGCCAGTGCTACTCTGTCTGCATTACTGTAGCTTTAGATAAGATCTTTAAAATTTTTACTTATTTATTTAACTTAGTTTGGTGTGCTGGGTCTTCATTGCTGCACACTGGCTTTCTCTAGTTGCAGTGAGTGGGGGGTCCTCCCTAGTAGCAGTACGTGGGTTTCTGTTTGTGGTGTCTTTTCCTAGTTTCGGAGTAGGAGCTCTAGGTACCTGTGCTTCAGTAGTCACCGTGGGCAGACTTAGTGGTGCCAAGGCATGTGAGATCTTAGTTCCCAGACCAGGGATCGAACCTGTGTCTCCTGCATTGGCAGGCAGACCAGAGAACCAGTGAACCACCAAACCACCATTCTTTTTTTTTTTTTTTACAATTAAAAAGAAATAATTTATTTACTATGAACAAATTACAACTATTATTCATCTCTCATATTAGTGGAGACATTTATTAAACCACCATTCTTAACCAGTGAACCTCCAGGGACGTCCCTAGAGGAGATCGTGAAGTCAGACAGCATGAGCCTTCCGCCATCTCCTCCCGAAGATTATTGTGCTATTCTGGGTCTCTGCATCTCCATATGCATTTTTGAATCAGTTTGTCACTTTCTATTTAAAATATCTGCTGAATTATGATTGAGATTGTGTTACATCTATAGCTTAGCGAGGGAGAACTGGCATCTTAACAGCATGGAGTCTTCCAAACCTCACACATGGTATATCTCTCCACTTATTTCGCTTGTCTTTCATGTTTGCCAGCAATAATTTGTAGTTTCCAGTGTATAGTTTTTACAGGTCTTTTGTTAAATTTATTCCTAATTTTAACAATTAGGACTGATGCTGAAACTCCAATACTTTGACCACCTGATGTAGAGAGCTGGTTCATTGGAAAAGACCCTGATGCTGGGAAAGATTGAGGGCAGGAGGAGAAGGGGATGACAGAGGATGAGATCGTTGAGTGGAATCACTGACTCAGTGAACACGAGTTTGAGCAAACTCCAGGAGATAGTGAAGGACAGGGAAGCCTGGCATGCTGCAGTCCATGGGGTCACAAAGAGTTGGACACGACTTAGCAACCAAACACAACAACATGGTTTGAAAGAGAAAGGTCTGTTTACTGAGAGAACCTAGGACCAACGACACCCTGATAGTCAGTTGGATACCAAACACCCAGTCTTACTTTCCAAATACCCTTCTGTACTAAACAGATCTAGGATTCCTTGGAGAAATACTGATTCCCCGGCTGGGGCAAAGAAGGTATGAGATGAGCCTGGAATATCTTTTTGTACTAGAGGAAAAGGAAGTGTTTAGAGAATGTTGGGGGACACATAACAAGGAACCAGTATCAGCTTAAAGGGACTGGGAAAAGCCACGTCTGGGAGAACATAAGCATTAAAGTCTATCATGGTGGAGTGTGTCCACAGAATAAAACAGAATCTAGGACAGATAAGTAAATAAATGGGGGAGAAGAGGATGCTTTTCTTTAGAGTAGAATACTAACTAGGAAATGTAGAAGAGAGGATGGAAATAGAAAATCACTGCCAACAAACCCAGTGTTGGTTAGTTCAGGCATGATTCATCAATGGAAGATAAGGCTGGAGGGCAGAGGATACTGACATAGTCTGAGTGCATCTCCTTTCAGACACTAATCAAATACAAAGGAAAACCTGGCAGACACAAATGACCAGGTCAACAAAGATAACTTCA